AAACCTGATGTGACAAACTTTTCATATATCATAAACAAAAACTATTATGAGCACAGTTTTGAAATTTTGTAAGGTCTTCAGAACTTTTTGCTTGAATTATTATTTTTTTTTGTGTGTGACCTGCCAGGCCCTCAGTGAGTTGGAGTGGAGTGACTCTGTTTTTTGTGTCTCCTTAATTAATTTATTTTTAAATATTTTTTCTACTGAGTTACATGCTCCTCAGGTGTGTCATCTCGCTGTCCCTGGGGCAATGATGGTTGTTTGAAACCAGATTAGAAAACAGGCTTTGTCCACCTCCTTTTGCACGTAACAGAGCTTTGCCTCTCCTTCGCTCACAGCACCTCAGCCAACCATTCCCTAAATGCACAGGCACATATTTACAGGCATAAGCGGGTCGGCTAGAGGGTGAGATGTTTATGAGGTGTAGATATTTGTGGAAGGAAGCATTTCTACTATTGACACTCAGGCAGTTTGCAGAGTGGGGGGATGGGGGTCTAGGACTGAGAGCATGGCAACAGGATAGGAAAGGGGGTAAGGGAGGCCTAAAAACTGCAACAGAGCAAGTTGACTGGCTGTTTGACAACTTGTTCATTTAGAATTGTCGTTGAAACAGTCGAGTGATTTTTGGTTAAATAATCAAATTTACACCTATTCCCCTGCGAATCCTAAGATGTTGGCATTCAACATTTGGTGTCTAAAGTTTGCTTTTTTTTTAGCTTATTAGTTAACACTTATTAGCTTACTGAACACACAAACAAGTGTGTTGAGTTAGTATGTGGTCTTTGTAGACTTTTGTATGTGGTTTCTGATACTGTATAACATACTATTGTTTACAAAAATGGACAAAAGTATGTCGCATAGCTAAAAACTGGAGTAGCAGCCATCTTGGAACCTAAATTTTCTTTGGTTTTCTTTCTTGTTAGAGAAGTAAACTTTGGACACCAAATGTGAGTCACTAAATTTAACGTAAGGGGAACCTTGTATCAATAGAAGAGAAATAGACATGCTCTTGTGGTTTCTGACACTGTATTCTTGTTATCTAATAAAAGTACAGATAAAATCCAGGCTTCAGGATGGCTGAGAATAAAGAATAAAAAAAAAAATTAAAAATTTAAAAATTATGTTTCTTTATTCTTTTGATTTTTTTTTCCTGAGACCCACATTTAACATTTGTGCGGTTTTATGTACCCAAAACAGTCATCGTTCATATTTACAGTCAGGTCTGTAAGTATTTGGACAGTGACACTTTTTTTGTAAGTTTGCCTCTGTGCACCACCAAAATGGAACGTTTGAAATGAAGCAGTCAAGACGTAATTGCAGTGTAGACTCTTGGCTTTAATTAAATTTTTATATAGCCCTCAATTTTCACAGGCTCAAATGTAATTGGACAAACTAACATAATAATAAATACAAGGATTACTGTTGATACTTGGATTCAAATCCTTTGCATTCAAAGTCTGCCTGAAGTCTGGAACCTATAGGCATCACCAAATGCTGAAATGCTTTGCCAGGCCTTTTGTGCAGCTGCCTTCAGTGAGAAGCATCTGACTGCAGAGCTGCAGATTTACACCCGCAGTTTGACTCCAGAGGTTTCAGGCCAGTGAAACGCATGAGCAGTAGGACAGGGCGATTGTGCCGTGCAAACAAAGTCCTTATAGGAAAGTTGAGCGTTATGAGCGTTCCCATCCGTATTTCAAACAGTGGCCAGTCTCCTCATTTATAACGTTTCTAGTGTAAACAGCGACTGTTTGTGCTGGCTGTATGTGTTGCCATGCATATTACTATTAAGGAAAGGATATTCTTGCCAATATATGAATCAACCAACCATTGGTAACCAGTTAAACCATACAAAACACATTACAAAATCAGAAACCAAAAGAAACACAATGGTTTCTATGGGTTTTTTCAGCAGGGATACGTTCAAAAACTAAAGTTTTAGCCTAAAGCTTAATATTATGCTCAGTTTAAGCCTGTTTAAGGTAAAGTTTTATTCCCGTACATGTATTGTAAGCGTACACATAAAGCCCCCGTATTAAGGGTAAGTTAATTGAGCTATATGTCTACATAACCCATTAGCTTACCCAGGCCACAAAAGCTGTGGTTCGTATAATATTTACCCTACTAATCTCTACATGTGTTCAAACCAAAGTTTATTTTAGCCTAAAGCTTAAAATATAATGTTAGCCCAACGCAAATTTATCACAAATTTATAAAAAAAACCCAGATGTGTTGATTGGCCTGTTGATTAGCCTTGTGGGTCTTTCTGATTTCAGTTTTGTCTTCCAAAAAGTCCATTTCACACCAGATGTGACGCGGCTAATCCAGAACCACTCTGCGACGCTTGGTATTTCACACCAGAAGCAACACACACGCAAAGCAAGAGTGGTTGCTGCTTGTGTTGTGTTCTTACGTAATATAAACGTCTGTATTGTCTGTTTATTACTCATATAAACTTTATGTAGATGACTTAAAGAGATCGACAATAAAATCTTGACTAGCTGCCGTGACTGTTGCTGGCTTTCTTACCAGATGAGCTCTATAGGAGGAGATGACTGTGTGTTCACAACATTAACCTACTCAAGGCAATTCAGTCAACCTGTCAGAGATACAACTAGATTTGTTGGTTTGTTTATTAGCCGAGATTGTATAGTATAGCATAGACGTTGCTTTTCTTTACTGTTTCTGCATAGAAACTGCTAGCGTGCCACGTGTGGCACACGTCAGAAATAGACCCAAAGCATATTTTTGCTCATGGCCGGTGTAAAAGGCTACATTGATTAATATAGGAGCGTATTGTAGTAGGAGCATTTTCTTTGCCTTAAGAAGCTCTTGGGTTGCTGATGCAGTATGTTTCGTGTCATTATCTGTACCGTAAAGCGCCGTCTTATCGGTTTGAAGCATTTGACTGAATCTGAGCAGAAATTATAGCTACACTTCAGAATTCATCCTGCTGCTTCTGTCAGCAGTCACTTCATCAATAAACGCCAGTGACCCAGTTCCACTAGCAGACATACTTGACCATGCCATAACACTGCCTCCACCATGTTTGACAGATAATGTGGTTTGCTTCAGATCATGAGCACTTCCTTTCCTTCTCCATACTCTTCTCTTCCTATCACTCTAGTTTGTTATCTTGGTTTCATCTGTCCAACGAAATGCATATCCTACACTTGGAATGAACTCCAGATGTTCAATCTCCTTAATTTGTCATGAATAATGAGGGAACAGGCCACACTTGGCCATGAAACTGCTTATCAGTCAACTTTCCAATTGCTTTTGAGCCTGTGAAAATGTAGGGACTATGTAAAAATGGCTGAAATTCCTAAGTGGCTAATGCAATATTTTTGTTAAACCTCTACCTAAAGCTTAAAGTCTACACTCAAATCACCTGACTACTTCATTTCAAATCCATTGTGGTGGTGTACAGAGGCAAAATTGTAAAAATTGTGTCACTACCCTATTACTTATGGACCTGACTGTACATGACTGTTTTTAAACCTCTTTATCCCTTAGAATAAACAGACTGTGTGTGCCTTTAAGCCTGATATATGTAAATGACTTCTGTTCTGATGGGTTGCCCTGTATTGTGCCTCATTCAAAAAGAAAACAAGCTGAAACACTCCTTATAAGTTCAGTGTGAATGGACAGTGTTAAACTGTTGTAGGCTAAATGGGCAGGTGTATGTAAATGGGGTGGATGTTGTGACACCACAAGAACAGTGAATTTATAACAGGCTGTCTGTGCAGCTTAGTGTACCTATATGGACTGTACAGACTGGGCAGTGAATGGTATGTTCTAAAGTTGTGCGAAAATTTTGATTTTACATGACATGAGCCCTTTAAGACAGGCTCATAACTGTGCTGCTGAAATGAGAAAGACATCAATAGGCTATACCAGTAATGGTAACAGTAACGGTTATAACCAGTGCTGCCAACTACTTTCAACAGAAAATAGTTATAGCCTGCTCAAATTCACTAAATGTTGCTAGATGACATCATGCTGTAATTAGCATATGCGTGACATCGTGTTTGCATTCTGCCTAATGTCAGATGGTGTCAGCTCTTTACATCTGGTTGCATCTCTTATATTCTCTGTGCTCACATATAGCCTACTGTATTTTAATACTGCAGAATTCCCAATAAAGCTGTTCTCATTTACATATTTTTCTGTTTCTGTTGTCAGACCACAGGACGAGGATGAAATAGTGACTGAAACGTAAACCATTAAGACTACTTGTTAACCAGCAGTGGCTTCCAAACCATTTCCAAGCTGCTGCTCTGCATTGCTGAAATTCTAAATTTAGAATGTTATCTGATAAAATCATCATACGGCTGTGCTGTGATTTCAGTTAAATGTGCCTGTAAAATGCTCACCTAGAGAGAAAGACAGAAGCGACAGAAAAGAGTAGACACACAGAAAGGTAGGCCTCTCGCTTGTGGGGCAGTACTGTCCTCTCTCTTCTATAGAAAGTAGCTAAGGTTTGTCCAAAAAGTAGATTTGTCATTAGATGTTCTTTTAAAAAAAGTCACTAAATCTAGTGACAAAGTTGCTAATTTAGCAACATTGGCTATAACGGTAATGGTAACATTAAAGGCTTAACATAGACCCCTAGACTGATCAATGACAGACATATAGACTTCAATAAAAACAGAATGGCAATAACACCTCGAAAAAATATATGAAGATGATAAAAATGCTGCGAATCTTTAAATTTCACACTGCACATGACTTTATAGTGAGAACAATGCAGTGTATCAAAAAAATACCAGCTGCTAACTAGTGGAGCAATTGAATGTGTTGCCTGCAACTTTGTTTTGAACTGCTTTGTGTAACTGTCAAGTTGAATTATGTTGCAGGCAACTTACAACATGCAACTAGCTGCATGAGCAAGTTTCACCACATAAAGCCAGCTTTAATCTTATTGAACGCTACACGGCCTTGGTCATCAGACGGATTCTTCTACCAAAGCAGAAGCAGTCATCCAGTGAGTGCACAGACCAGATCTTTGAGTGTGATATTTATTCATAGGCCCTCTATAAAAAAATCTTAATACTAAAGCACGTTTACAGTTTGATACTCATAAAGTGTTCTTTTGTAAAATGTTTACCCCCAAAACCAGACCTTACTTTACACATTTACAATCTTTACAACAATTTATCACAGAGAAAGAAAACAAAGCAAAAACTAAAAACGCTGACAAAATGAACGACCATAAAGAAAATACTTAATTACGCTTTAAAAACATCTCCATATTAACAAAGAAACGCAATGACAGGCAGAACATTAGGTACAGATTTGATGTCTTTTCCCATGTACAAATCGAAACAGAAATGTAAAGAAAGCGGCTTTGTAGGACAGACGTTCCTGCGTCTTCCCTGTTCCTGTCACCCATCAGCCTTTGCTCGAAGCGCCACAATTGCTGTACGCCATTCAAATGTTAGTCAAAGTAGTATTGCACTTTTGCCATGGGCAAGTGACTTGCTCTTAAATAATTAAATTATGTCAGCTGACCGACCTCTCAGGCAAGCCAATTTCAGCATCTCTAATTTTTGTTCTTTAAAAACAAGAGACACACTGACCTTCTGTATAGAGCAATAATCAAGTTTTTTTTGCTTTTTATTAGCTTCACGAGAGACTGTAATCAATAGAACCTTGAGTTCATGATAAAAGGTCAGAAGTTTGTGCCTTTTAGACAGATCTTCAGAGGATATTCCTGCTTAACCTCTACTAAGTACATTCATTTTACTCAATCCAGTGCCCTCCTTTATCAAGACAGTAAAACAAAAGGCAAAGTTGTGACGAGAACATACACACATGCGCACACACTTATCTTATAAATTCAAGATTTTATGTGTTCCACACAGAGTTTTATAAATAACTTATGAGCCTTGCGTCAAGTTCAAACTTATTTACGTAATGTGGAATCTTACTGCTAGTTTGTGAAAATTAATGGTCCAATTAATGAAAAAGTTCAGCGAAAAATTGGTTTTACACAATGATCAGCCAAGACATGTCTGGTGTTCAAATGTTTCTTCTATGGTCTGGCGCTGGAGCTTCGAGGCTAACGTTGCTAACACTAAGTAAACAGTCATTCAAATTTTTTCCATAAATACAGCCCCAAAACTTCTCTCAATCTGTTCAAATCACGTCCAGGTCTTTATTGGTCTCTCAGATATCTTGACGTGGTTTAGAACAGAAGATGACTTACTGTGAACTATAAAATTGAACAAAACTTCACTGTCTACCTAAACACAGCAAGCAGCCATTTTGAGCAGGAGCAGCCATATTACAGAAACTATCTTTAATCCCAAGTTAAGATGACAAAGTCTTTTTCACAAATTGAAGTCAGGAAATCTTCAGCTATTCAGTCACAGTCAAAAATCATGTATGACTGTTATGTAGCGATCTACGATAGCTGAACAGCAGAAATGTAAATACAATTTAAAATCATATAAAAAAAGACATTAGTTAGCTAGCTACTGTAGGTCAAAATAAACCTAAAGTGTACTGAAACTGGTAGACTGCCCCAGTTTCCATTTACAAAAGCTTTATCTGGCATGCAAGCCATGTGTTAGCTACACACTAACAATTCTCTTTTCAATAAAATGGTGAAGACGGTATATGCAGAATAATAAAGAAGAACACGACCGAGGTTGTCCTGAAGTCAGAACAGTATTTAGGAAATGTATGGATAGGATGCTTCTGTAGTATTCTTTTCTTATATGGAGGTAGAAAAAGATTATGAAGTTTGGAACTGTTATTCTGTCCTAACTGAAGTTGTCATGGAAACTAAACACATGAGATTTCAGAGTTAAGCTGTTGCTATAATACGGCTCCAGTTGTTTAAACTGACTGACCACACTGATCAGTGACACTGAGGTTTTTGTGTTAATTTTTATTGTTAAGAGTCATACTGTACCCTAAACAACATCAACATCAAGTCTGCGTGACCTCAGTGACCTCACCTTGACGTGGTTTGAGTAGGTCGAGAGATGTTTTGGGGATGTTTTCACAGAAAAGATTTGGGTGACTATTGACTTCTAGTGTTTGTTAGCAACAACAGTCTCGTAGCTTCAGCTCTAAACTAAACAAGTAAAATTTGGACACCTAATGTCTTGCCTGACAGACTGCATCTGGCGTAAGTGGACATTTTTGTGATTTAAGTCAGAGATTAATTTTTTTTCACCAAACCATTACTTTAAATTCCAGATTCATGACCTGCAACCTCTTGAAAAGAGCCTGTCTTTTCTTTCTGCTTTTTCTGTGGGAGTAGAATGAATAGGCTGCATAATCGTGAGAAGGATGTTTCGAATGTCCATTTGTAAAGCACAGAGGAAAAGGGTAAATGGTGAGAGAGTGAAGGGGTCAGCGAATGATGTCACTTCACCTGCAGGACCACAGAAGTTGTTAATAGGGGCCAGAAGGTGAGGGTCTAACTATACTTCAAGGCACATACCATACCAGCACACAAGTCCAGTGTTCTTATCTCTCTGTACAAGCACCCTCTGCTAGACCACTGCACGCGGGGTCGAACAGACTATGATTAGCACAAACAGAAATAAGCGCCATCACATTTTCATTCAAACCTAGTGTTTTTTTTGTTATTTTTTTGGGATAAAACAGCAACACTGACAATAAATAAGATGATAAAAATAACACAAATAATAATAACACTCACAGAATACAGTGAAGATTGCATAATCAAAACGACAAGATGTTTTTGGCACAAAAAGAAAGTGAACAAGGGATCTTGTGATTGCGTGAGCCTGTCAAACAGTCTATGCTTGCGCTCTATTGAACATGATTGTCCCTAAAGACTACAAGCTAGCATGTAGTAACACACAAACACCTCCGAAGGCTCTTGTAGCTGTCGCTGTGCTTGGCGCATTGCTATTTCTTCATTTCTCAATGTCCTGGCCTTGGCAAGACTCCGTCAATAGACAGCAACCACTGACTGATGGGTAGACAGTTGAAAAACATTGTCAACGAGCAAAACAGGACATAAGCAGTGCAAGACATTAAGAAACAAGTCGATTGCAGAAGGGTGTGCATTACATTGTTTTTTCAGGTATTATATACCTTTGCAGTCCCCCTAACTTCCATAATCGGTTCCCCTATATTTTCCTTTTCCATCTTCCATTGGTGATTTAAATAATTCAGAAGGACGTTTTCAGAAATTAATTTTATCCTTCCTTTTATATTAAAACTTTCTGAATTGGGGAGAAAAACCCATAAAAAAATAAAGAAATTAACAGAGCAAAACAAAACAACAACAACAACAAAAAAAAAAAAACAATAAATGCCCAGGATTCAGCCATTAACAATGACTGAAATTCATATAGCCTCTTCTCTTTCTGTCTCAGCAGGCAATGTGCAGTGCAACGCATACATGTTCAGTTCATCTCTCCTGTTGATATTTATCGCTCATAGAAAAATAAATCAATCGAAGCATGGGACGATAAGCCTCATATGTACTGTACATCACGCATATAAAATAACTTTTGTATATACATATAAACAACAACGACAAAAAATAAACAACGAAAGGAACCGATCACACGAGCAACCTGTACACTATACACCTGAACAAGAAGACAGGCAAGAGGTACTGAAGTGTATGGCTTGATAGGAAATACTTCCTTATATATACATATACATGAACTTAATATACTTAAATCTATTCTGTACTTAAATATCCCTGGAATCATGACAACGGTGCGTGACAAGCACACCACACCATTTCCATCTCAGTTTCTGACTTGGCTGCAAAATTCACGACCTGACAGCCGTCTTCTCCAATCCCACAAAGAGTTCTGCTTTGGTGACCTTAAATAGAATGTATGTTCTTGTAAAAGTCAATCGTAAGATGTAAGATCAAGGATGCTTATCCCCCGATTACCCAGGCTGGACCATGGGCAAACTGCCTGTCGTAGCAGTTCGTCTTTGGGAGACCAGGTGCTCAGGGCTGGGAGACTGTGGGCTGTTTGCTCTTCGTAGCATCCCATCTCACCATGCTCCAGGTCCTTTTGGAAACAGAATAATCACAGCTGCGATCCTTCCTATACCCCATCTTGCTTCGGTTGGTCTCCTGTCAAATGCTCATTGACACTCAGCCCACTGCTAGATGGACCACATGGCCAGGACTCAGTAGTACCCTCGAACCAGAGCTAGCAGAGGATGGACACCCCATCTGCAGTGAGCAGCTGGCCACTGGTGGGGTCGTAGGTGCCGGCCAGGTAGTACAGGTCCTGAAGGCTGCTGCCAGGCTTTCTGTTACGACCGAGGCGCTCGTATTCCTCACGGCTCACCACCTGGCACTTATGAGAGATTGTCTGCACGTCATTCTCATCTTCATGGCACGACTGATACAGGGCATGCTAGGGAGCAGAAATAAGTATTCAGTTTTTCATACGGTTAAATTTACCATCAGTGAAAGGCACTTAAGACATAAACAGATATCTGCTGCAGGAACTGTATTAAATCTAGGTTGCTTTGTCCTTTAGCAAGGTAATTTGTATGTACAATAGCATGGCTTGAGACTAGAGATGCAAATTTCGGCAAATTCTTGTAAGCATTAGTTGTTCATCATTAATCAGCGATTAATCGTTCATATACAAGCCTAAAGTGAAGGATAAGACCCATTAGAATTATAAAACAAAAACTTCCAGATAAAAATTGACTGGTTGAGTTCTGCCTGAACCCTTTGAAAAATACTTGTTAAATGCAAACTTATAAGTGAACACATCAACTGGATTCTGTATTAATTAAAAGATGTAAAAAGTGTCCCTTATATGGACTGTGGAACATAAGCTTATATATGAAGTAAACTACCCAAAACTGTGATAAACATACCCTATGTAAAAACAACTATGTTGGAGATCATATAGTCAAAAACTAAAAAGTTAACTAAATACAAGATAGCATTAAAAAATAGTTACTAAAGTATTAACAAATATCATGATTCTAGCACAATTATGATTCTATGTTTAATTGTTTATCCAGATCTATGTTATAAGGTTCTTAATTCATATTTATCATTCACTACTAGCCCAAGTTAAAATGAAAATAAGCGCCATGACCGGGGCTAGCATGGGCTCAATGTAGCTCTCTAAGGCCTCCGCCATCCACCATGTCCTTCTTTATAATTTTGCACACCCACTTTTAATATGGTACATCATTGTAGTTGTGTTATCATACGCTTGAAAATTGGTCCCAAACACCACTATTTTTAGTTGCACACTGAACTTTTTATGAGGCCTATCTAGTGGAATTAACTGCCTGTGGCGCCCTCATTCAAAAGTCAGTGCTCCTCAACTTGAACAATAAAGCCACCTTATTAAAATAGCTGCTGTTTAAAACTAAACATTTTTACCCATCAACATTGGTCAAACAATTGTTTATTTGTCGATTAATGGATAAGCAGTTAATCGTTTACATCCCTGCTTAAGACCCTGTACTAGAAATGCAAAAATTAGTTGATGACAATGTCAATATGTTGACTATCATTGATAATGTTTATGTGTACAATGATACACAAGATCATAACGCTGTGACACAAACAAATTGCAGAACATTATGATGATGCATAGGGGATGATATAGTTTCTATTGTTTTACTGCACTATAAAAGAAGAAATCACTTGTCTCACTGATTTTGATTGATGTTAAAGCAAAGGGAGCGCAACTGAAGAAAGCATTTCTAAGATCAATCTATTATAGAAACAGTTAGCAGTTGCAGTCCTAAACCAACAGAATGTATATTTACCTTGCCATCACGGTGCCTCTTGTCCAGTTTGGTCTCCTCAGGATGGTAGAACCACTTGACTTTTACCACCATGCTGCTGGTCCAGGACTCCCAGAAGCTTTCGATGCGGCCAATGTAGGGCAGGTGGGGCCGACCAGCGGACAGGAACACTGCACAGTCTCCTACCCGCACCATGTCCCTGCCACGCACTATGGCCTTGTAGAAAAGCTTACGAGCTTTTCCTTTCAGCCCACGTCTCTTGAGAGGAAGAACCATTTAATTTATTATATTTTGTGCACCACTGATGTCTGTTATGCAATAGTAAGTCTGATTCACTAAAGATTTTAGTGTTTACTGCAGTGTTTAGATAGTTTGTAAGCAGAAACATGGCTACTGATTAAAGAAACACCCAGACCAATGGTTTTATTGTCTTTGTTTGCAAAGTACAAGGACTAGCAATTAATGTGCTCAGTCAGTCAGATGTCCATTTAGCTCATAAAACACTTGAGATTGATTGATCGGAAGGATTGGTAGAAAACAAGTCAAGGTTTGGCTGTTTTTGGCTTACCTGGGTGGGGCTCCCAGACCATCTCCACAGTTGCCTGGCTGGAAGGAAGGATGATACTTTGGGCCTGCCCTGGTCAGACAGCAGCTTTTGCCTCTTGATCAGGTCTTTGGAGGGTTTGGAAGGTGAACTAGGGCATTCTTTTCTCTTCAGGGGCTTGCTGCCAGCACTGTGATTGGCATTTCCACCTTTGGCATTGGACACAGCCACAGCTTTGGCCACAAATGAGTGCTGCGGGGGTCCCGTGGGGGGTTTGGGGGGCTGAAGCAGGGAGTGGTGGGGAGTCAGGCAGCTCTGCAGGAGTAGTGTGGAGCTCTCCTCATCCTCTGAGCTGTAGGAGGAGTCATTGTCTGAGGAGCAGAGGCTAGAGCTGGAAAGAGAGCCTGAACTGGAAGAACTAGATGATCCAGAGGAGGACGAGGAGACGGAGAGGCGTGAGAGGAAGCGACCAGCTGTCCTCATGCCACTTGAGGCTGAGGGTAACAATGACCCTCCACCTCTTCTCCTCCTCCGATCTTCCTCCTCCTCTTCCTCATCTGAGTAAGAGCTGTGGCAGTCCCTGTGGCAACTTAGGCCTAGATCTCCATATTCACCCATTCGCAGAGATGGGGAGGGCTTTCTCTGGATGGGAAGGAGTTCTGCCCTTGAGCTGTTGCCCTTTCTGCTGTCCTTCACCAGCAGGACAGGGTGGGAATAGGCTTCAGGCCTGGGTGGAGCACCTATGCTTTTGGAGCCAAACCCTGAACCTCCTAGCAACAGCAGCGCCTTGCTGCTCTTGTTCTTGGGAGATGTTACGCCTTCATGATCCAGCTTCACCAGGAATTCGTTTTTTCTGCCTCGATGCACATCAGAATCATCAGACCTTCTTTTCTGCCCATAGGGGCTGCTTCTGCCCCCTAGAGGTGTCCCGGAGGCCTGGCTGCAGAAGGACGAGTAGCCATTGGCAATGCTGCTGAACGAGTCCACCTCGAAGGAGCTGCTACTGAAGATACCTTTGGCTGGTGTTGTCATGGAGACTGGAGCATGAGAAAACATGTCTGCCTCTTTGTTCCTCAAGGCCTTCTTGGGGGCTGAGCCATTAAGCTGGAACAGATTGACAGGCGCCCTCTTTCTAGGCGCATCTACCGATGGCCAGGTAAGTGGAGATGTTGAGCTCTTGGCAACGCTGTCTGAGATAAACCTCTTCAGCCCCGAACCTTTAGGTCTCCCTGGGAAACCAAACATTAACATACATTAACATCTCAAGCTATGTCTTCCCTGCTGTTTCAGGAACAGATTAAAAATGTTTTCATTTTATTTTGACATATTATGTTGCTTGTAATCAGCAGCAATAACCAAACTCCAAGGAAATATGGATCCTGATTGTTTGTCCTGAAGTACTATCTGTATACCTATATATAATCTTAAAAAACCTCACCTGGTCTTCTCACTGGTTTCTCCTGGGCTCTGGCTTCCTCCGTGCTAGCTGTTTTCTCAGAAGTTTTACTAATTTGTGAGTTTCTTCCATCTTGAGCTGAAAATACTTTGTCTGATCGACCAGTGGAGACCAGAACAGGACTCAATTCAGCACCTAGTAGAGAAAAGGAAGAGGATGCAACTTTGAAATGAATCATCATTACTGAGCAATGAAAAACATCAATATAAACATTTCAAGCAGAGTAATTAAAGCATCCAGGAATGCAGCATTCGTATTAACATCTCCATATGATTCTGTTTAAAATGCTCTGCTGAGACTGGGCTATGAGAGAATATGAGGACTCACATTGGACCTGGTAGCCAGGAGGAAGGAGGCGGATGTTGTGCAGGGAGATCCGTCCTCGATCTCCATCATCAAACTCCACCATCACGCCACCTGGCTTACCTTCTTCACTGGTGCCACCTAGGCAGCAAAATGAAAAACATTATGCTTGACAGAGTAGCTCCACCTGCCCCATTAGAGTACAAATAAAAATGTACACATTAATTTGAACATTAAAGGGGCATTCCAAGCTAAAACTAGCATTGAATATGTTAGGCAGCATTCTGTAGTGCAGCATTGCATCCCTCAGCCTCATCAATGTGACAGAATTCATGATTTTGTGTCCTTTTTGTGCTTCCAGTATGCATTATGCAAATACATCATAGAACCATTGGGAACTATCCCACAGCGATAAAGAAATACACTGATGTAGAAGCTAATAAATATAGATATAATATTTGGCTTCCTCACAGTCATTTTAACTGATTTAGCCATGTAGGGAAAAAAAACATTTCAAACAGCCCAACCTCAAGTATCTGCCCATAAGTACTTGTAGTTTTTCAAACGTTCCCCCACATTCAAGATACCTAATCAGGAAGGTGTTTTCCTAGTCTTGAAACTAGAAAATCTCACTCCTACAGACTACTGTGGCACCACTGTGGAATGCAAGTATGCATTATTTCAACAGATGTAGTAATGGCTAATCTTTTCATTTTGGCTGGAGAGCCCCTTTAATGGGGACTCTTTCATTGTGTTCTATGTAGCATACTTCCTTACCCCTGCGGACGTAGCCTGGGTAAAGACATCGTGAGCGCTCGCTCCAATAGGCACAGACTCTCGTTCCCTCAGTCAGCACTGCCTCTGTTTCAGGACGCACATCCAAAACCTGGCACATGCACACAAACACGCACATACACCTCGGTTAGTTAGTGTCAGTTGAAGGAGTGTTGGGAGTGTTTGGACTTAGAGGAGAAAAAGTCAGACAGACAAACAAACACGTACACACACGCGCGCACACTGGGCAGTCGCTGTGGCAGTGCTGAAAGCGGCACTTATCTCATGCCAGCGTGCCAGTCAGGCCTGAAAGCGGCGGAAGCTGTGATGTGGTACAGGCCGACTTGCTGACTAATACTAAAGAGGCCGTGAATGGGATGGCTGTGATTGCAGGCTGCCAGCGTTTCTCCTTTTCCACAATGCAGCCCGGGCCCAGCATCCGCCATCCGCCAAGGCCTTCTTTCAGGTTGCTTTAATTTAGGGTTGCCATGGCGACAGGCACTTGCAGACTGATGAAGTGTGAGGCTGAATGGTAGCTAGTGAGTGAGAGTGATTTTTGCTCGCCGTGTGTGTGTGTGTGTGTGATGGAGGCAGTAGATTGGAGTCAAAGGTAAAAAGGCTATTGGAGAAATGGGAAGGCCAGGGAAAGTAGAAGTGCTTGTGTAATTAGATCCAGCTGCTGGGAGACTGCTGTTTACACAGTGGAGCAGCTGCACAACAACTGTGTGTGTGTGTGTGTGAGTGAAAGGGCTGTGTGCTGGGCTGGATTCGACCAACCTGAAACAGAAGTCGTGAAATGTTTATGTGAAGAGCTTTAGGGAATTGCTGCTGAAGAGCCCTGGAGAATGTATGAATGTTTTTTTGGTGCAGTTGATGAGAGAAATATTTAAATAGGGCATTAGAGACAATAAAACATGTCTTGTCATGTGCAGTTGGTAGAATAGGCCATCATTCAAGAAGCAAAACAGTTTTCAGGGATATGATTTCATTGGTAACATGGATCAAATGCATAGGTAAACAAGCAGCAGCAGTCAGTAAGTGATACTGGTCTTTAAAGCCCCAGTGAACAAAAATTCATGTTTTATTTCGGAGCAGATTACTCTTGTGGGCACATAAACACTATATGGCCTAAAGTATGTAGAAACCGCTCTTAATTTTTAAGTACATGTGTTTCAGCCACACTCATTCTTAACAGGTGTCTAAAATCAAGCACATAGCCATACAATCGCCATAGACAAACACTGAATGGGTCGTACTGAAGAGCTCAGTGACTTTAAACATGGCCTTGTCACCTTTCCCACAAGTCAGTCTGTGAAAGTTTTACTTTAATAATTTGTACCGCAAAGCGGCGCGGTAATCAAAATACACAGATAGTCCGGTTTGGGCTGTTACTGCAGTGATGCTGCATAGTGCGCAAGCACTTTATGAATCTGGCAAGAACCATTAATATGTTCAGCTGGACTCGCCAGCATTCCATGGAAGTATATCCAGCATTAAAGAGAATAAGATGACACCATATAACAGCATAATGTTTTTAGTGAGCTAATGTTTATAACATTAACTGTATACGTAAAGATCATTTCAATCATTTCTCCCCGCTTGCATTCTTGTGTTTAGTTCTGCTTCAGGCCGGGAGCGTTGGACTGAGGGATGTCCATCTTGCGTGCTCATAGGAATATTAGAACCACGTCCAGACAGTTCTCAGATAGTAAAGATAAATAAGCAACTTTTAAGCCATGTTTTTTATATTTGTTGTATAACACTCAATTCTAGCATTATACAAACATTTTTAATAATTTATACTCTGTTCTCTGGGACTTAACACCTAGACATTGCAGTTATTGTATGGTGCAATTCTATATATATTATTCCTCATTTGTACCTCATTGAAACATGCTGGGAAATTCTGTCAAAAGTGCAGATTCTAAACATCGGCCCTATCATCAGGAGATTGCGAGTTTGATCTGCAGCGATGCTACAGCCATCCATGGCCAGAAGTCTAGGAGAGCATATCTGGCCTTGTTCTCTGTAGCATGGCCCTCCCTTTTCCTCCATTGCTCAACACGATGGCAGCCAATGCAGACGTCTGTTAGCGGATGAAACAGAATTGGCAGATAGTGTTCTCCTCCAAGCGTGCTGAGCTGTCCAATAAAATTGCATTAGTGGCAGTTTGAAAAGATGTGGCAGCAGGCTTCAGGTATTTTTGGAGGAAGCATATTATGGCCTTTACTCTCTCAGTTTAGTAGTGCCGTCTGATTGGGGAGACTTCGCTAGCGGGTGGAAACTGGCAATGACTATACTGAGGATAAAAAAAAAACCCTCTTAAAAAAATAATTTGAATTGTATTAATTGTACTAAAATTTGTATTGCGCATATAGTCATGTATGGAGAAACATTCACATTTGTGCCACGATTTTGTGACATTGAAACAGATGGAAAAAATGTTGCACATAGTCAACAGAGAATGTGAACTGAATGTGAAAGTTTATATATTGACTTGTTCTGGAGTGTTTCTAAACCCTCCTGCATGTTGAGAGAGTTCTGGGCCAATTCAGCTGCCTCTGATGCGTGGAGCAGGATGTTCTAAGTGTGTGGAACAATAGTCAGCAAACACCACCGCTATTCATCAACACATACACACATGCACTCTCACACAGTGAGTGGAACAAGGAAACACGGACCAGGCCAAAAAAAAAAAAGAACGCCAGCCAAGAACGCACTGCGGTTTACAGTGTATAATTAGAGGCCATTTCAGTGATGGCTTAGATAAACTGTAATGTTAACATAACCCCATGGGTTCAGCACAGAACACATAAAGAAGAAGAACCTCACACACTGTTCTGTCCTGCACCTCAGGCCTGAGGCAGCTTACCGAAATGAAGCAAATTGTTTACTCGAATGGCAGTGAGGACAGAAGCTGTAAGGCATGCTAATATAGAGGGGGGATGGTTGCATTTTGCATGGAGATGCTCAACTGGCTTGAGCTGCGGTCTGAAAGTGGTACTGTATGGTTGGACAAAAGATCTAAAGACACATGGGGCATGGCAGCTGGGTGTGTCAGCATGTGTGTGTGGGCTGCAGCCTGACCAATAATATATAAAAATGAATTAAAAATTACAGACGTTTTTATAGCTGCCACAAATCACCTACGTTAAAGGCCTAGAAGGCTCTGAGGGATCACAACTGCATAAATAAATGTGCAAGCCTATACCTGTATCACAATTAATGCATTACAAGAACTTTACATGACCTATACTTCGTATTGATTGATTGATATTTCTGTGGCTGAAATATAACCAATAATGCTCCTGTCTAAAGATGTGAAAAACACTAAAAGACATTAAAAAGATTCTAGAAGCAAATTAAATGCACCATGTCATCTTAGCTACAGTGAGTGACTGTTGTAAAAACAAAGAATGAAGCACCATAAAGTAATATTGCATGTGGAGGAGGGGTGCTTATATGTGGCCCCACCTATGAAAAAAGGATTCTGCGTTCCATGCAAAGACACTGGAACTGATTTCAGTTTTCTAATTGTCATTACAGGAAAAGGAAGAGCAGAGGAAGTCAGTCATTAAGCTAATGGATATTGCTCTTAACGAGGAAGTGTGAACAGAATTGCACCTAGTGGTGTTGTGCAAAGCAGGAGGCCATAAAAATGTTTTCTGACAGGAAACAGCATTATGTGGAGACTTTTTTTGTGGAAGAGGATGCGGCCTGAGTGTGGTGCTCTGATAGAAGAGGGGATTTCGGAGGATGTGGTGATCGCAGAAAGCAGTGTTAAAAGTAGAGGGGGTCGGTGGTGTGTGAGTGGTAGTTGTGGAGGAATAGAGTGTGTGCTTGTGTGTGTGTGTGTAAGAGGATAGTCCTGAGAGGCCAAAGCTCTGAGCGTGGGCAGGCTTTTGCACTCCAATTTGAAGGAGAACTCACCGCTTCCTGCAAGAGCTGCTCCAGGGAGTAGATTCTGGGGCGGTTTCCTCTCTCTCCATCGATAACAATACTGTAGCTGAAAGAAAGAGCGAGAGGGGAGAGTACAAAGGAGTTATTTTCAGCTGTGTGTGTAATGCTTGACTTCCCGTGTCCGGCTCCCCCCTCTCTCACTCTCTGCCTCTGACTGACCCTTTGCTGCAGCACTTCTAAGACATGGTGGTTCCCAAACCTTGGTCCTGGAGTACCCTGCTTATTTTGGTGTTTTTCCTGCTCTAACATAGTGGTTCTTAACCTTTTGGAACCCAAACCCCCTGAAAAATATGTGCTGGGGATTCCCCCTAAAAAAAACTACAGTAACCTTCTTCATTTCTCCTGAACATATATTACACACTATAGCAACCTAGAGGTGAGCGATATGCAAAAAAATGTCAAGATACACGATAAGTATTAGGACATTTCATTTTTCTGAGGTTTGATAAGTTGGAACAGCCATGAAAGCTCCACTTGTGTCATGTTTTATTCACTGTTTTGCGTATGACATTGCACTATATCTATTTAAACAGGAATTATGCTCTCTTTTTAATAAAGCTTGCAGTTGGTCAGTGTTCTTTAAAGTGCAATTCCACTTTTTCCATTCCATTTTTTAAAATTTCTTCAGAATTCTATCACTGGGATGTAACCAAAGTATTTAGAGTGGTTTGATGTGAAACAGTCGCTTGTAGACAACCTTACCAACTCAGATTTCTTTTACAATAGTGGTGATAGGAACTAGGTGTCGTAACCCAAATATAGCAATTTTATTTACTATCCTAAAACACAAGTGTACCTAAACAGGTCTTCTGAGTTTTATATGGAACATTGATTATGGTAAAATAGTGGTAAATCTGAAAACATATGTTTTCTTCAGGCACTATTCTGCATGTATCTTTCTGCCATGAATAGAATAAAATAACTTTTTAGCCAAAACTTTATCTCAAATCTATCCTAAAACAACATCAAGCACTGTATTCAAAACCATTTCATGTAATAACTTTCTGTGAAGGAGCTTTTAGAGGCATTAAACTTTTCAGACATCTGCTTCCTATCACCACCACTGTGAATTGCCAAGTTTCTCTAGAACAGAGCATTTCACGTCAAACACTCTGAATAACTTTGTTTACATCGTAACCATGTAATTATACTGATTTCCTCTAAATAAGTTACAAAAGCAATGTGATGTAATTTATTATAACAGAGTAAATATTGTCATCTTGCCAACCCCTTTCAACAACCTTCTTCACATCTCTCTGAAACACATCACAATGTTACCTGATGACACCCCAGTTAAGAACCACTACTATAATACCTTAATACCTGTGTTAAGAAGCTGAGAAGTTAAATCAGGTGTACTAGAACAGGGAAATATACCCAGAATATGTAGGAAATCATACATGAGATACATTTGAGCATATTAAAACCTTAGACTACATTCCCTAATGAAAGCATGGGAGCAAATTACATACATTACAGCTTAGAATAGATGTTAAGGCAGTGTTAGATCATACAGTAAAGAAGGGTATTCCTGTAATGTCTGCACTGTGTGTGTGTGTGTGTGTAAGAGTGTGTGTGTGTGTGTGTGTGTGTACTGACATGTCAGGCACATCCAGAGTTCTCACTCGAGCAGCATACAACAGCTCGTCCTCTTTACAGATGAGAACCTTGAGTCCATCGATCAGCAGCTCTTTGGTCAGCACACAGTTTGGAGGAACTGAGCGCAAAATGCAAACACAAAGAAAGCGCCCACATCATTATCACGTTTTAATCAAGCACAGTGATGCCACAGTATATTCTGACATTAAGGACATTATTGTCGCTGTTTACCCGGAGGATTCCTGGAGTGTGAGGAACAGTTGCCCCCCTCATCTTCATCAGAAAAGCTGCTGTCTTCACCCAGGTGGAAGCCATCGTCTGCCGCAAAGCTCTCAAGTAGACGACTGACTGCCCGGCCTTTAGACTGCACCACACACACCATGAAACACACAATCCAAGATACCAATTAGCACAAATGGCTTCTTCTCAGTCTTTGCTAATAATAGGCCACAATCGTCATTACAAGTTAAGTATTTAGGAAGGACTGTCTGACTCTTATTGTCTCAAAAAAACGGTGTATGCATGTGTACCTGTCTGAATCTGGTCCTCCTTTTGCAGTCATTGTCATCACTCTGGGGAGACTGGGCCACACCTGACCAGCAACTTTTTCTCTGTTGTATTAGAGAAATAGAGATGGATCAACCTGAGTTTTAGCTGAAGTGGGTGAGGTACAGAAGGCAAAACCCAAAATGGGGGTTACCAATCTTCACTACAAATGGCCAATTTTGCTGCAGGTGGATTAGGTGGAATCAGGTGTGCTCCTGCTTGCTTGGAATGAAAACCTGCAGCCACACCAGCCCTTTGCAGATAAGATTGATAAAATGACCCCTGCTCTGAATTATGGAGAACTCAAGGACTATTGTTGGGAACCTCTGACCTACAGTGATATGTTACTTCATCTCCTAACCCAATGTTCTTCAACACATCTCTCAAGGAAAACCAAGCCAGTCCACATTTTCTTCTGTTCACACTCCCCACACACCTAAGCCAAGTAATTCAGGGTTGGTAAACATGAATCATCAAGAGCAGAGGTCTTTAAATCCAGAGTTTAAACCCAATTTCCGGTTCTGGACTTTGTAACCAATAAGCAAACTGGAATAAAGTTCAGGATTTGAGGACCTCTGATCCAGAGCAAGAGTGAACTGTACTTCATTGGGTCCCTCGAGGACTGGATTGCAGGTCTTTGTAAGCAACTATAAAGAATGTCTCTTTGGCATGCAAATGTAGCCTTATTTTGGACATGGGTCACCATTCTGTAACCATGTGTAAAGACTTTCCTGTGTTGAATGAAGTGTTGGGCTTTGAGCCTAGTGTTGAACTGATATATATTCATTGTTTGTCATTTGTATTGTACTGCAGTATCCTGTTAAATTGCACTACATGTAATCTATGTAATGTTCACTTGTACTGTGTGGTCATGTAAACACTGGCTGTGTCTGGCATGTTGCACCAAGGCCTTGAAAGAATGCTGTTTTATTCCACTGTATATTTGCATATAGACGGATTGACAATACAGTTCTTGTTGACTCTTGGTTCTGTGCTTACCTTGCTAACCGCTCCTCGCAGCATGGAGCTCTTTCGTGTGGCCCTCCTCAATCTCTCACTGGTGGTGGAGAAGGACAGGAGGCCTGTAGGTTTGCGGTAGTGACCCGTCCAGGGCTTCTCCTGCAGCCTGGGTCGACCTGGTCTCCTCCTCACCCCTGGGGGCTTGGCCGCAGTAACAGGCACCGGCCTACAGGGGGCCTTCTTCTTCACCTTCACCTCGCCTTCAGTACCAGAATGAAACCGCGAGCCTGGAAGAGTTTGTTCAACAATTAGGGGGAAAGCTGTTGGGGCAAAATCATGTGCAGATGGCTAGTTAGCATGTTTTGCCAACATTAAAGCAATAGTTTGGTGATAAAAGGTCAAATTATACTATGTATGTCACACGGCTAAAATAAGAGGGGCCACCTCAAAGCCTGAATTCTGTCTGTGCTTTTGTCCATTTTTAGAAATAACAGTATGTTATACAGCAACAGAAACAACATAAAGAAGTCTAGCTATAATTACCTGATTTGATTTGAGGCAAGTGTGTGCTGATTTAGGCATGCAGTTTACTCAATTATTAATGGCTTATTGTCCTTCCATTACATATTTGTTATATTAGCCTTGTTCCAGTGCAAAACTAAAGACCAGGCATGTCTTGGCTGACAAATCATATTTAGGGCGAAGGAGAATCATATACATGTTATTTTTCGCCAAACTCTCACCTTAAGGACAGTTTGAGACTTACCATAGAGTTCCTGTCGCTCTCTCTTATTTTTTGCCTTCTGATTGGCTTCCAGTTTAACGACAGAGGAAGGGGAGGGATCTTTGACAATGTTGCTAGATGGGAGCTCCCTGGAAGATTGGGATTTGATGGTTCGTCCTTCATCGCTGTTTTCACTGCCCTCTTCTTCCTCCTCTTCTGTGGAAAGAAAACCGAAATTTCGCACTTTGTCATGCAGTCCCACTATTACAGCAGCTATGTTTCTAAATGTGCAGTTCTTTGCAAAAGTCAGAGACCACCATTCATTTTTTTAGCATCTGGGGGAAAAAAAGTAAGAGAAAAAATTCACAGAAGCCTCAACAACTGAATATAATAACTTGTTTAGTATTAAGTGTGTCTACCCTTCATCTTTATTACAACATCCCTTGCTTTCCAGATATTGGCTTTCAGTTTTTCAAAGAAATCTGCAGGGATATTTTTCCACATCTCCAAAGTTTAGTCTTATAAGTTGGTTGCATTTTCTGCTTCTCATGATCCAAGTAATCCCAAACACATTCAGTGATGTTAAGGTCTGGATTCTGGGGTGGTCAGTCTGTTGTTCTGAGAACACCATCATCTTCTTTGTACGATTTGTATGCCTATTTCCTTTTCTAAGTAACAGTTTCTTGACAACTGCACATCCCTGGGTTGTCTTCTCACACACTGCAAAAATGGTATCTTGGTAAGTAAAATGATCTTACATCTAGTCGACATATCTAATATCTCTCATGTTGAGATTGTTATAAGCTTATTATAAGATTATTTAACTTCTTTCTAGACATGTTAAATTGGTTTAAGTGCGACAGTTTTGGTGGTTTAACAGGTCTCGGCTGTTACAAGTCCAGCTTTCTCTACAGCTTTTCATGCATTTTTGAACTTATTTTTCTTTGACTTTCCCTTACCTTTATGCAAGTGGATTATTCTCCACAGAAACATTTCCTAAAAAATTAACAACTTGTACTTAATAGGCGATTTGACCGGACAATAAATGAAGAGGGATCTCTGACTTCCATCCAGGACTTTATGCACCACCTTCTTCATGTAACTGAATGCCTAAGCTGTACATATGTAATAGAGATGCAGTCTTAATTATATATTTTCTTTTGCAAGCTTTCTTTGCAAACTCTGTGTAGCATGTGCATGTGTTGGTGTGTGTGTTTGTGTAAGAAGGGGCAGGCGTTAATGTCCAGTCAGCTGTTGTGCGTCCTGTGAGGCAGCAGGCTGCAGCTGTGGTGGTGTGTCTGCCAGCGAGGGGCAAGAAGTGTCAGATGTCCACACACTCCGGACACTCTTGTCATTTACAAGCCATTCATCAACACCCTCTCACTCACCTCCACACACACACACACACACACACACACACACACACACACACACACAGACACACACACAGACACACACACACACAAAATCTCACACACTCTTGTCTTTCACTTGCTCACCATTAACAAATTAACATCTTCCCGCATGACCACTGGGGGCACACAAATCATACAACTCAGATTGGAGAACTGATGAATGTATATGTATTTTAAAATCCTAACACATTACATAAAGACTGGGTATATCACATCTTCCGAATAATTAATGTAGATTTTTTGGTGACTAAAAAACTGGGGATCCCATATTACCCAACACGTTGTCTCAGCCTCAGCCTTATATACAACCCCATTTCCAAAAAAGTTGGGAAGCTGTACAAAATGTAAACAAAAATAGAATGCAATAATAAGCAAAACAAATAAACCATATTTTAAAGGAAAATACTACAAAGACAAAGACTGAGAAATTTTATTGCAGGCAGGTCAGTTTAGTACCCACACGCTTTTAATATGGAGCAATACTGTTGTAATACAGGCAGAATGTGGTTTAGCATTATCTTGCTGAAATAAGCAAGGTCTTCCCCGAAAAAGACGTCATCTGGATGGCAGCGTATGTTGCCGAAACTTGTATATATCGTTCAGCATTAATGGTGCCTTCACGGATTTGCATGTCACCCATGCCATGTGTACTAATGCGCCCCTATACCATCATGAATGCTGGCTTTTGAACTGTGAACTGATAACAAACTAAGTGGTCTTTATCCCAGATGACTCAGCGTCCACGATTTCTAAAAAGAATTTCAAAGAGTTCTCGGACCACAGGATATTTTTCCAATTCATCTCAGTGAGCTCGGGCCCAGAGAAGGCAGAGGCATTTCTGGATCCTGTTTATATAAGGTTTCTTCTTTGCATTTTAGAGTTTTATCTTGCATTTGTGGATGTAGCGACGAATAGTTTTCACAGACAGTGGTTGTCAGAAGTGTTCCTGAGCTCATGCAGTGATTTCAACTACAGAATCATGTCTGTTTTTAATACGGTGCCACCTGAGGGCCCAAAGATCATTGCCAGCAAATACTGGTTTTTGGCCTTGTCCCTTACATACAGAGATTTCTCCAGATTCTCTGAATCTTTTAATGTTATTATATATTGTAGATGATGAAAAATAGCAAAGAACTTTTGCTTTTTTACTATTTTCAATAAAATATAGGGTTTAATTGATTTGCATATCATCGCATTTTGTTTTTATTTACATTTTGCACAGCATTCCAACTTTTTTTGGAAATGTGGTTGTATTTTGTATGCAAAGTTAGTCACAACAATCAGGATTTTGTCAGCTGCATTCTGATTGACTACCTGTGTGTCTGTGTATACACGCTTCCATGCTGCGGATTTATCATTTAGACAGGAAACCAAGTTTTGTTTTAATTCTAGTCAGCAACAGTGAACAGCTGCTTGCACTGGACACTGTGATGAAAAAGAGCCTTTTCAGAGCAAGAAATTCATCCAGTGGATTTTCACAATCACCTCACCCTACAAGCCATGCTAAAACAGCAGGCTGTGTTTGGTCATTTGCATGTCAGGCTTCCTGAAAAGGTAAGTAGTTCTTGACCATGTTTTGCCATGAAAAGCACCAGACTCTCTGCTCATCTACCCAGCTTGTAGTGTCACAAGCCAGACTTCTGCCTATTCTCAGAGAGTCTAGTAGGATTCGTCACTTAACATGGCCAAAGGCCATCTGACTGACAAGCAAAACAGCCAACCACAAACTGTTGTTCTTGCATGACGTGTAGAGACAAGTGATTCTTAAACAGGGCTACAAAAACCCTGCGCTTCAATAATAATCAAATAATGCCTTACAAACATAGTGCCTCTCATTACTAGTAGATTCCAATAGCAAAATAAAATACAGGTAAAATAGGTAACATATTTTTTCAAGTTTCATCATCTATGAATAGGATGCATTTGGTTACTGTCCAGCTTACACTTACATTTCTTGTAAATATGTGTAAGAAAATATCAAACGTTTTATATACTTCAACTGAAACAAACTTTAAGGGGAATTCCTCTGATTTTTTTACATTTCTGCATAACTCAACTGTTGAGATGTAAATAAAATCCTTGAGAGTGGTTTGATGCGAAATGCTTCGTTCTAGTTTTCTTTGGGGACTATTGTGCCTTACAGCATATTTTGGAAAATATGGATCTCAAAGCTACTGTAAATCAATGTCTCAGACATCAAGCAGTGTATTTGTAACCACTTCATGTGATATTTTTCTGTAAGGGAGCTTTTAGAGCTATCACCACCAGTTCTGATTCAGTGTTTTTTTTAGAACAGGGCATTTCATATCAAACCACTCTGAATGACTTTGTTAACATCTTAACCATTTAATTATGCAGACATTTAGAAAAAATGGTGGAATTCTCCTGACTCTAAACTGACTCACCTTGCTCAGATGACTCGCTCTCCAGCGCTGATGTCTCTCCATCATCCATCACTTCCTGTCCCCTGGCCCGCAAGATCTGTGCCCTGGGCTGTTGCAGACGGGCAGACGCTCGGTTTAAAGCTCCCGCATTCTTCCTCTTACCCTTTCTCAGCAACATCATCTCCCCACGGCCCTTCCAGCTGTCCTGAGCACCGCTGTCTCCACTGCCTGCTGAAGAGAAGATAGAAGACACACAATGTTAGCTATCAAGGAGTAAACATATTCACACTGTCATGCCTATTTTCATGGTACAGTTTTCAGCCAGTGATTGGAAATGGGACTAGAGGCTTTGACCTGTGTCACTCTGGCCTTCAGACTCGTTGGCTGCTGTGCTGGGCAGTCTGGACTCAGTTTTGGGACTCCTCTGGGATGTGTAGATGTGGGCAGCGGCAGAGCTGCAGGCAGAATTATCTCGGTCACGAACGGCGGCCCTGTTTCCGGAGGGTTTGGGTTTCAACTGTCCTACATGGTGTTCGTGGAGGCTGCTTTTTTGGCAGCACTGCATCTTCATCTGAGAGGGGGAGTTCAATAAGTTATAAATAATATATTGTAATGATCTATTCATAGTAATTTCAAGTTATCTGCCTCGAGATTTGATCACCACTTTTCAAATATGATCCTGGATGGTGACTTTACTTCGATCTCAGGATTATGCAGCTTTCTCTGTTACCGTGGTACGCATCTACAGCTCTGTGCATCATTCTAAACACGTAACGTTTCTTAATTGTTTATAGCTTCAGAGTAGTATCATCATAGTAGAATGCTCTTATACATGTATCCACAATAAAATTGGCTTTATATCATTGAAAACAGTGAATCCAAACATTTGAACTTTTGAACGGTAGTGTACACAGAAGGCAATAATGTTAAAGAAAGCAAAGGACACTGGGACATCACAGACAGCAGATGGACAGATATGGATAAAGGCTTTCTCAGAGAAGAACCTGAAGTGAATCCTAATAAGAAAGCATGTGGGAATAAAGGGAAGAGAGAGAGAGATGGAGAGAGATCGAAACGCAGACACAAGGGACACATGTAGAGGGACACTGACCTGTGCAGCTCCAAGACGGCCAAAGCCCCGGTTTGACAGCTTCCTCTTCTTCGCCGAATCGCCACTTCCTCCTCCTCCTCCTCCTCCCGACTCGTCCGCCAGCAGGCTCAGCACCGCCCCCGCAGACCTGTCAATCAAATGACGCCACAGGCTTTCATAGCTGCTTAGAAGGAGGGAGCAAGAGAGCGAGATCAGAGAAGGAGAATTAGACACAGCCTTCTCTCACTGGGCTCTAATAGCGCCCCTTCATTCCTCTGACGAGCAGCAAAAGAAGAAGAAGGGAATGGAGAGAGTGAGAGAAAGAAACAATGACACAACCTCTCTCGACCAAGGCTTGAAGAAGCAGGATCTGACGGCCTAATGTTGTTGTGTCGGATAAGAAGTCGGCACACTCTGTCTGGGGAGATCCAAACCCCCTCCCCCTCCTTCACGCACACACACACACACACGCCACTCACACAAAAGGAGCGGCGGCTTTCAAAAGATACAGCGAATGGTTGGGAGGCAAAGGCATTTGTATTCGGCGCCGTTGTTCTCGCTGAACATCATAGCACTCGGGCTGCATTTCCATATCAGTGCCATGGCGCTTCTGTCCTACAGTTAGCCGGGCCGCCGCGGGCGGGAGAGAATGGCCTCGCATTTCCCTGGAAACCTGCCCAGCGGACCACACAAACACACGGCGGGCTGCACTCGAACAAAAAAGATTAACCCTCCCTCCTCCTGGTGTATGGATGGCCCTGGTGAGCCATCCGTCAGGTTTGCCAGGAGGGCTCTGCTTAACCCCTTAAACTCTAGGCTTATTATTCACTTATTAATCACAAAGGAATACTCACTCTGGCATTTTTCAACTTAATCTCTGACTATTGCAGCTTCAGTATACAGTAGAGCTGTGCCACCCAACCCAAGCACGACGGGGCCCGACAAAAAATGAGGTTTCAGGCCAGATTCGGGCAGGTGTGTGAGGCGCAACATTGGGCTTGGGTTTATTTTCTGATAAGTGATTTATTTATGTAAGTGCATATGATTGTTTTTGTTTGAAGGAATGCAGTCGTTTGCAAAGGTTGATTTTCTAGGTGAAAATAAGTGAAAATAATCACATCCTCTACAGGGAAGAAATACGATTTACTATGCAATTTCTATTTTTAACAACTGGAAAAAATAAATAAAATTTGAAATGTGCTATAACCTTTGCACAGACCGTTTTATGTTTTATTTTTCCCCACTATGTTATATTCAGCAAATAAACAGTAATTGTGCATTAAACTGTGTGTTAACTTATTTTTACTTAGAAAATCAACAAAACATGTCATTTGACCAGGGGTGCAAAATTGTTGTACGTCTGTATGCCCATGTAACGTACTCTCACGCATTTTCTCTCTTGGGTGCCACACTCTCTCTCTCAAAAATCCACAAAAACTTGGCTAACGATCTCGCTAACTGTTCACCATGGACAAAATTAAAAGAAAGCTTGCTAAAGAGCAACAGTTTAGAATCCCAAATGAGTCAAGGACGTTGTCACTGTGGGAACATTATGACCTGGTCATTACACAGGATAAAAAGCCCCCTGATCACATACAATGTAGAGCTTGAGATAGCATTTTGAGCTATGATAGCAGGAGGATTGGCATGTCATATCTGCAGCGACACAATGACCCTGGATCTAGCTGTTCTGAGCAGTGCTAGCAGGTTTGGGTTGGGTTCAGGTTTCAAATTTAGAAGAACCAGACAGGCCTGGTCGGGTCTCAAAATTGCAGGTATCAGTCGGGTTCAGGCTTCAATTTCATGCCTGTGCAGACCTCTATGACACGATTACCACAGAGAATAATTTTGATGCGTTTCTGGTCCACTAAAGCAACTGCCCATTGTCTTCTATTATAAGTGAATTCTGAGTCAACAGGTTGTGTGTTCTTTTCTAAATGCAGGGAAAAGCACTTCATTAAAGTTTAATGAAAGATCTAATGCAGCATCTAGCACTGCTCCGACTAGCGCCAGTGTTAGCTTTAGCATGAGCTCATCTGAAGGGGTAGCTTTCATTGCTAAAATCTCCCCCTTATTAGACATAGAAAACCACCACTTCAATATCAAGTGACAAAATAATTTCCTTGGTTTGGTTAAACAAACATTTTTGTTCACATTAAAGTAGCCTACAATTTTGTCGGTTCTCAAACATCTGTGTCTGCTTGAATATTTTGTAAGGCCAGTTTATTTCTGAATTAAAAATGTTTCAATTATACTGCCGCATGTGCTTCTAAATATTTTTTTGTACTATTGAACATTTTAGTCTGGTAGTTTGACAGGCGTAACAACAGCAACTAAGAGAGATGGAACTTTCTCAGAATTCTGTAACAGGTCATTGTTAATGTTCGATCGTACATCTAATATGTAAGATATGTAGTTACAAACCTGCTGAAAACAACAGCAAAGATTAACATAAATTCCATGATGGTCTAAGCTGGGTTTTGCTGGTTTATGCTGGTCTGGTGCCAGTTTAGCTGGTCACGTTGGTTGATCAGCATACCAGCATCCAAAACACAACATATCTTGGTTTTGCTGGTGACCAGCTATGCTGATCTATGCCATTTTTATAGCAGGGAAGAGTGAGAAATTTCAGTCTGGAGAAGACTTTATGAACCTCTTGGTGCAAAGAGGGAAACCCCACTGGCACTTCCTCTCCTTACGCTGTGCTACTTGCATAATAGAAGCAGTGTGGTTTTGCACTGTTTGTTTATGTATGTTTGTTTGCATGTGTGCTAAATATGGATGTTTGTATGTGTGTAAGAGAGAGACAGGGGCTGGGGCAGTGTGATTGACAGGCCAGCTACAGAGGCTGCAGCAGAGTGTGTGTGTTGGCCCCATGAGGCAGGCCATGCCGCAGCACACACTGACACACACAACGTGACACAGCCCCTCCCTGCCGAGGGCGCTCACGGTGACTAATTAAACAGAATTGATTAGCAGAGAATGAAGCTCACTCTACACACACTGCCGACAAGGTGTCTGTCATCAAAAGGAATCACACACTCAAGCACACACTAACACACAGCCCTCAATCATAAGACACATGATGAAATGCAGAATGTCCTGTTTTCCAAACTCTCTTTATCCCTTAGAATTAAACAGGATGTTTTTGTTACGGTGCCTTTAAGACTGATGTGTCTTAATGACCTCTGTTCACCTGCTGTTCGAGATTAAAGAACACATATCATTAAAAAATCATTTTTCTCCCTTTTTCAAAATTACAGAGTTTAATATACTATGTAAACATTGCTGTAAACTCTGCAAATAAATAGAAATTGCCCACTAAAATTTGCAGAAAAATGTCTTATTTAAGTTTGTTCCCTGTAGAGGATGTGTTCATTTATTTTTACTTAGAAAATTAAGAAAACATATTTAACACTTTATTTTATTATTATAGATATATTTACTTGTTTACTTGGTTATCCAGAAAAATTGTCTTATTCTATTCTGATGATTTTGCTTGTATCAAGAAATAAGTATCTGCTAAAACAATAAGACCATTTCTTAAATTAAAAACAGACTTAAAAAATGTAAAATCAAACTACAAACTAGTTGAAAAATCTTATATTCTCACAACAAATCAGAACAGAGGTCATTAAGACACATCAGTCTTAAAGGCACCGTAACAAAAACATCCTGTTTAATTCTAAGGGATAAAGAGAGTTTGGAAAAGAGGCTTGTAAAAATACATTCAGGCTGTCAAGCATCATAAATAGACCTCAGGACAAAAATAAAATACAAGTAGTAAGATGCCCTTTAAGAACATGCACAGACAAGTAAATTCTACATGCTTCAGTGAACTGCATGCAATATTATGCAATATCTCACCACCACCCAACTCCAATAACAGTGAAAACAAGTGCTATCATAAAGCAAAACCGTGTGAATCAAACAGTAAGGCAAAACACAATCTGTAATGTGCCTGGCAACTGCAGCAAGACCTCCCCCACCACACAAACACACACACACACATCTACAACCATGTCCACACACCCCTCCCTAGCCTGCGGTGAGGGACTCTGGCTAGTTGCCCATGCGTCTGGGTGTCACTGTCATGCGGTATCACGTCGCGGCTGTGCGCCGGCCGGCACGGGGACACAACTACGAGGGCGGAAACAGAGCGGAGGTGACAAGGCAGCAGGACAGCTGGGAACACAATGGAACACTGCCCAGAGAGGGATGAGGGGAGAGAGGGAGAGAGAGAAAGGCCACTGCCCTGCCGCTAAGCCCCTCCAATGCTTGCACATGGGTACTGACGACAGAGCTAATTGAAAATCGACAAGCACTCTCTTGACCTGCATGGCACTGAGGAGCCATAGACATTGCACACACGTCTGAGAGCAGGCGTCATTGCAGCCTACGAAAGCCTTTGCTTATCCTCAGTCCTCATCTGAACTTCAGTCCATAAGCAGAAAAAACATACCGCATCAGTCTGTATGGGGAATTAAATGTATCTGCTTTTGCTGCTTCTGATTAAGATAAAGCTCTGCTTTCATAAACAAATACTTTCAACAGAAACCAGCTGTATGTATTACATTCATAATCATGCCGCAGCATCAGCTTCATTACAGTGTGTGTGTGTGTGTGTGTGTATGACCTCTTCCCCTTTTGACCTGAACTGAACCTAGTACTAAATGGCACATTCCTGGCAATGGACTAGATTACAGGAGCATTCACAGTGCTCTTATTACAAGCCTTTCAAAGCCTTCCTCCATAAGGCCTTCAGCTCTTCCAGCACAGCAATCCCACTGAGTTTGAGGATTAGCAGAGAGGGAGGTCTCTTTCAATCTATATATCTATATGTTTATATAGGTGCTGGTTAAATTTAAGCCTAAACAATGGAGCGTATACAAGCGTATACAAAGCAGAAGCTCTGCAGACCCAGTCTGCTGCCATGGCTTGCCATGTAATGCATTTCAGGCTCAGCGCTGATTAGGTTAAGATAAGACTAAACTGGACTTCCTTGCTGGGGTCAGACAAGTTCGCATGTTTCCTGTTTATAGTATGGGGAGCAGTCTGCAAGGATTGCGCTGATACCAAGGGCTTATCTGTACATTTGCATGGGGAGGAGGAGGTTGCTTACTTGACTTTCTTCTGTGGTTCAGGGGGGACCACAGGCCCTAGGCCTGGGGTGGATTTCCGCTTGCGTGGTCGGCCAGGGCCGCGGCGCGCAGGACTTCGAGGAGTCTCCTCTTTCCTGGAGAAAAAGCAAAATCAACGTTTGGCTAAGCGACTCATCTCCAAGTGCAACTTAAACATGTTTGACAGCATCCCAAATCAGAGCATTTAAGCTTTCATTGATGGCTTTTTTAAGGGGTTTTTGAGAAATACATGGATTTATTGAGGTAAAGGTGGTCCTTGAATGAAAGCAAAGCAGTGCTTACTGGTGGTCGTGCTTCCTCTGCAGCTTGGCAAGCTCCTTTTGCTTCTCTTTGTAGCGCCGTTGCAGCTCTGCTAGCCTCACCCGCATGGCCAACTCTTGACCATCCATAGTTTCCATAGCACCCTTTACAGGACACACCTGTCAACAAGAGGCTGTAGTCAGATCATTTGAAGTGAAAAGTACTGTCCTGTTATTCACCTTGTTTTAATGAAATGTCAATGTTTAATGTAAACATTGTGGATGAACAGCTCTGTAAAATGATATTGACAACTGACTCTGAGCTCATTGACGTCAAAGCCTTAGGTCTGAAAGTCCAAGTTTTAATACCGGCTCATGACGAGGGGTCCAATTGCATTTCCGGCGCAGGTTGAGGATCCTCTTGGTTGGATACTGCTTCTCAGCTTCTGCCATGCTGTTTTCCTTGGAGCCCAACTCCAGGGCACGAGCAGCTGCCAAGGTAGCTAGGCTCTGGAGATCGAAAATTAACTGCTCTTCTCCTGTTTAGTTCAAAGAAAAGAGGAAGAAATGTTCTATAGACATATCTATACAGTGGGTTTTACCATGATTCAAGGGTTGGGCTCATTTCCATAGTTTTCATTAGGGCAACATGGTCCTTGCTTTCATTGTTGTTGGAAGGACTATTAACATACAACCTTTGATTGGCAAAAGTTGGACCATCATCTATTTGACGGGCGCTGCTTTGTGAGATACCATCTAGATACCACCAAAGCAATTGCGACTCTAAACTTTCAGGAAACAACACCACATTAATGGACAAACAGGGATCATCTATAATGTATAAGATGTATTGCAACTCAAGCATTTCACTTTGTGTATGTCAAACATGCACTGAGAGACATGAGGTTGTTTAGTAATACTTTTCAAACGGGATCTTTTGGGACTAGTTAAATGCATTTTAAATGCATTAGAATGCTCAACAGAAACACAAAACATCCTTTTGTATGAAAAAAAAACTGCTTTCATACAAGGGAAGCTTTTAAAGCTTGGTTTTTTAACAACGTGCTAATGGGCTAATTAGCCCTGGCAATGCTCTAGAGCCACAGAAAACATCGACTGCTTTTGTGATCGCAAACCAAGTTTTTAGCGAACATGTCTTGTTCAGAGAGGGAAAACAAACCACTGCATTTGCTCTGCTTTGCGAGGAGTGCGCAGATCAAACAGGTTTACAGAAACAAAAGGCATAGAACTGTCTCCCTCAGGACAAAGAGTAATGGCAACAGCCTGGTTTCACCTCTCCCCTGGGGCTACCATCATTAAAGCAGGCTTTCAGGATACAGGGTTGCTCCTGAAAAGTAACCCATTCCTAAATCAACAAACTACTTTCTTTTCGAGGGAGGAATGTTAACTTGGACCTTACGCTGAAGTAGAATATTATGCATGGAGTAGTGGGTAATTCTGTAAGCTATACTGCTAGCTTGCTACGTAGAATAACAGCTGCTCACAAGAGCTCACCTTCACTGTTGCCTGCACTGTGGCGATTCTGTTGGAGCTCCAGGTCAGCTAACTCGCTAAGGAGCTCCATGCCATGTGTGCTGGGGTAGAACTGGCCACTACAGTCCTGAGGAGGAGTGGAAGGGGGTGGGGAAGGGGGAGGGCAGTCTCCACAGAAGGCTGCAGCGATCAGGAGCTCCAGGCTCCAGTAGCTTGGCACAATGGTCTGAGGGCATGAAGTGGCACCTACAGGAGATGGAAGGGCAGACAGGATTTGCACACAGTCCTCCACCTGAGCTTCCACTGCTATTTCTTCCACCACTACCTCAGTGGTTCTGTTTGGTTGGTGCTCAGCTAGACTGTCTGGAACACATGGATGCTCTGTATCTGGTGTTCTCTGGGCTCTTTGAGCTTCCAGTTCAGGAACACCATCATCATCTTGTTCTGGAATGACCTCTGTCATCTCCTCCTGGCAGCTCATTATAGAGTCATCCTTGTGGACTTGTTCTTCTGCTTGAGTGATGGGACAGTGTGCTGCTTCACAGGCTGAAGCTTCAGCAGGAGGGCATATGAGTAGTGTGGCCTGCTCCTGCACTTGCTCCTCCACTGCAGGCACACAGCAATTCACAGCCTCCACTGGGTCTGGTTCCTCTCTCTGCTCCAACACACCTCCTGCATGTTCTTCCACTATATCTTCCTCATTCTTTTCTTCCATTGGCAGCTGGGACTCTGGGATGGGTCTTACTATTGCATGGCATTCAAGCCCCTCCCCAAGGCTGGAGAGAGGGGTCGGTGCATGCTCAACAGACTCCAATGGAACAGTCTCCAGTTCGGCCGGCTCAGCCAATCGTACATCCTGAGGGGAGGGTCCACCTCTATATCCCATGGTGATTGCAGGATAGGTGTATTCAGGTGGGAGATCTGTGACAAAGAAAAGAAGCAAATTACAAGAGTGCAGCAATTGCAGACTTCCCCACGTTATTTGTTCCCACCACACCCACGCCTTCTATACCCATGTTGTTATAAACATCAGAACTATGACGTTGTGTGCAATAACACTCTGTCTTGTGTTTTGTTGTTTAAAAGAGAAAGAAAAAGGCTACTGGCCAAAGAAGCCTCACAGGCTGAAGAAGACCTTAACCATGAAGGGGTTGCGTTGTTCAAGTGGCCAAACCAAGCAGATTTGTAGCTGTAGTGTAGCGTTGCTCATGTACCTGAACACGACTGGTCCAGGCAGCCATGTAGCTGTAATGTAGCGTTGCACAGATAGTTGGCCCAAGCATCCTCGTAGCTGCGGTATAGAGCTGCCCATGCAGCTGAACAGCATTGGTTCTGACAGCACCACAACTGCATTGCAGACTCACCCTAGCAGCGGGCCAGGCAGCATGGTAGCTACTATATAGCATCAAATAAGCAGCCGGCCAAAGAAGCCATGTATCTGCGATACAGTGTCGAACAAGCAGCTGGTCCAGGGAGCCTTCTAGCTGTAATACAGCAACACTCAGGCGGCCATATACAGCATATGATGGGAACCAGTTGGGAGTTTCTACAATGCACCATTTCACACTAAACCACTCTGAATGACTTTGTTTAGATTTGATCACTAAATTATGCAGAAGTTTTGAAAAAACCGGTGGCATTCCCCTTTAATTATACATTGTGAACTTTGCAACACTCTATACAGGAATTCATCTGCTCAAAATACATTTTTGAGTAATATGGGTTAGTAGAGCCATGCTTTGGTCATTGCTATACTAGGCATCAGTAGAGCTGCAGTAATTCTGAGGTGGACCAGTGCTGCATTTCCTCAACTGCTCTGGCACTTTTATATCCTCTGGCATACTGTAGTGCTTAGCGAGGTGTTAATGATGATGAAAAGGGTGTGGACCGAGAGGGAGGTAGTGGGGGCGGAGGCCCTGGACGAAGTGTTTCTCGTCATTACCAAGGTGACGGGTGATGCTTGGGAGCTGAGCTGTCGGCCATTTTTCGTAGCTTAGTCAGTCATGCACTTGCCAATGCAGCCACCCACACACAGCCACAGAGTCTAAAAGCAGCCGCATTGGTTCTGCATGCGTGTTGAAAAGTTTGGTGCACATAACAATCTACATATGGCAATCTTGTTTTGGAGACACAATGATTGGAGCCACTTGTTTTTCACAGAAAAAGACAAAAAAGGTGGGTAAACAAAGTGTTGTTTTCTTTGAAATCCGGCAACAAATTCCACAACTATTTGTCAGCATATTCCTCTGGCAGGTCTATCAATATAAGGCCCTAGGGCCAAATAGAGTAAACTTAAATTAATCTCAAATGTGCTGCTCCAAGTCTACATTAGAGACACAGCTCATTCTTACCTGGCTCCATAGACTGAGGGTAGTCCTGTGGAGGCTGACCCTCTGCCCTCTTGTCCTGGGGTTCCAGTGCTTTGGGCAGTTGTGACGGAGCAGGGCTGATGGCAGGGGACTGGGGTGTGGTAGCAGCTGGACTAGCAGCAGGACAGGGGGTGGAAGCCGTGCTTTTCGGATGAGGATGCATGCAGGGCGACTGGCAGCAGGGCGACAGGTGTACAGCAGAGGCACTGGGTGGCGAAGAGGTCTGGTTCGACGCGCCATAGCCGTAAGACTTGGCAGGTTTGGGAGTCCGGGGCTCGGACAAGATGTCCTCCAACTCCATACTCTGCTCCTCTGGCTTCTTCTGCATCTGCAGTGAGTGGAGTTACAGGATTAAGGCAGAGCAAATCCATAAAAAGCTTCCTGGTCTACGCTTCTCTCCAAATGTCATAAAGAGATTTGGACAATTTGGTTAACCAAAGGAAGCTGACAAACGCTGACACCTGCCAAGTCACGCAATCACTTATCAATAGAAGTGCAATTTGGCACCTGTGCATCGCTGAATCAGGCATAAATTTAGACCCCAATGTCTACTGATTTTGAGCTGTGATAGAATTGCACTTGGTCTCATCATGCAGCACTGTGTCGTGTTTGGTGCTAAGACTGAAATACCCTTGAATCGTGCAGGGATTCTGAGGAAGCTCTGGAGCTGTGGGAGCTGTTGTGGTTTGATAGGGGGATTTTTCAGATGAAAACTCATGATTCACTGGCTCCAAATGCTGTTTACTCCCCTTCGCACAAAAACAGCTGTAGATCTCCATGAAGAGGATAACGGTCTCTCTTGGTGTCCAGTGTCAAACACATGCTCCCTGAAGAGGAGCCCAAATGTTTTTTGAAATGTATTGTTCCATAGGTCAATAAAGACACTGAACCCTATAGAACTGTCTTGCTAGTGATCCATTTAGAGACTTTGGCAATGTTTACCTCTTTTAAATCTGCTACCAAAGGAGTTCATAGCATAGTTTACATCACTAAGAGCTTACTTTTTATTTGTCTGATTTGTTTTTTGTTTTGTTTTTTTCCAAAAAGGTTGTTTGTGACTAAATTTATGAATCAGCTTTATTTGGTCAAGTTTGGCTGATAACTTGTTATTAACAGAGAACAGTAGAAACAACAGAAATAGCCACTTTTTGCATCCGGCTTAAAGGGTTAAAGGAGTAGGCCTACTTCACTAAAAATGCAAATATTGCTAATAATGGAAGGAACATTAGCAGGGGCCAATAAGCAAATGAGATGTTACTTGGTGTGCACTAGTTTTCACTCACTAGTAGGCATACTTGTTTTCTGAAATCTCTATGATGGGGAGGTTATCATGTCATATGTGTGAGTTTCTGTAAACAGTGTTAATGTCTACAGAAATATGGGTGACAAAGACTGCATTACCTGGTTGTGATTATTTCTGTGCTGCTGCTCTATGCCGTGTGCTACTCTGTGTTGCTGTGGTGGCTGAGGTGGCTGCTGATGGCTGGGATGTTGCTGATGCTGCAGCTGCTGATGCTGTTGGAGTGCATACAGCTCCTGTTGCCGTAGAAACTGGGAGCGAGAATACACAGCAGGATGCTGCATGTGGGAGTGTGGCCCTCGGGCCCTGTACACTGGGGGCCATAGACCAGGCTGCTCCATCACATCTAATAAAATAGAGATAGAAACAAAGTTAGAGAGTGAGAGACAGTTAGTGTAATAATAATATTAGGTTGAGATCAGAGATCATTAATGTATAGTTCTCACGCATAGATCCTTCATCACTGCCAAAATCACTAATACGTGTTTCATACCCGCTCATACACACGTACGCAAATGCAGTACTCTCCTCTCTCTTATACAAACACAGCCTACTCTAAGGGCATGGGAGCAGGACTATTCACCCAAACAGAAGCACTCCCACGTTATCACTCTCTCTCGCACACATAATGTGCCAAGAGCTTTCTGGAATGTTTGAGCATTAAGTTAGTGCATGAATATGATGAGGATAAATTGCCATTAGTACACAAGGATGGAAAAGTTGCCTTTTCCTGCCTGGGATTTGGCCGTCTTTTGGCCTCTGTGAGCAATCAACTCAGGCCTGCCCCTAAAAACCCCCGTCTCTAAAAGCCACAGTGGACCTATGTTGAAGCATGTAGTCCAGAAGAGCTCCTGGTTCCCATGTTAGTGAGCTGTTGCTTCTGCTGTGGGACTCCGCCAGGGAACACGCTGTGGGTCAGAGACAGCTGAGCACACTGACTATGACACATACCCAGCCCACGCCTCTCTGAGTCCCAATGTGTTTTTCAACTCTCCTGCATCTCACACAGCTCTTATGAACTCACACATCCATGCTGACCCTCACTACTCCATATCCCCCCATCCCAAACACACCATGGACCTTTGTTCTGAAACGTTAACCCAGCTTGGCTAATGTTTCCCGGGGGAAGAGTTTTGTGGATGCGCTTCCTGACTCAGCTTGGATTCCTGTGGAGAGCGGAAGGAAGCAAGCTCTGTCGAGGACAGAGAGCTAATTAAATTTCACAGCCTGTTTGCGGAGAAGAGGCCTGTGTAGACCTCAGAGTCCAGAGAAGCTCTTCCTCTAGTGTGATACGGCAACAGACACAGCCTCTGTGTGAGGAGCTGGGGAGCCGGAGGGGGGCATCCTGACCCATCCAGACGACCCTCCCTACGGAGCTGGAGCAGGTGGTCCACAGGAAATAGCTGGATTTAGGGGGAGTTTGTGCACAAGTTTTGTCCATTAGCTAACCCCAAACACCACAAGCAACCTCTCTCCTGTAAACAGTGTCCTCTACAGTCATTCTCGAGACATCTTGAACCCTAAACGGAAAACTGTAACACAATCCACTTAGTCACTCTTGGATGCTGAGAGGTTAACATGAATGGAAAACAAGAGAACAGTAAAGTATTTCACGATACCTAAGTGATGAGTGGGTGGGTGGGAGGCTGGCTCACTGGGCAACACCACCAACTGGGCAGAGGGGTCCTGGGGTAAGGGCAGTACGGGCTGGAGTGGAGCAGCCATGGCTGCAGAGAAACCCGGGGGAAGATTCTGGTGAAGAGCAGTGTGGCTGATACCTGAGCAATGAGTATAGTGGGGAAAAACATTTAAGATACAGCAAGGTAAATTAATCATTATTAACATATTTTTTATCCAAATTTTCTTAATGTAATCATATGATATATACATACAGCACTACCATACAGTCATAATATCCAGAAAGACATACATAGCCATACAAAGAACGAGCATTAATCAAAGTTTGCCACTGTTACTCCATGCTTTCAATTTACTTTGTGTCCAATACTTTTAAAATTACATACCATAGGAATGGCCTGTCATCCAGAGGGAAGGGCTTCCTGTGCGTGGCATCCAATGGTGATGTGTGGAATGGGTGTGTGCAGTGGGGTCCCCTAATTGGCCCGACTGCAGAGAATTGCCACCTGGCACCATGATATGAGAGGTGAGGTCGCCATGGCAACTGTTGGAGGGATGGATCCGTGCAAATTCTACCCTTTCCTTACTAGAGGACAGATGGGAAGAAGGTGAAAGGTTGCAGGGTGAGCAAGTGAAAGTGTGTGTGTGTGTGTGTGTGTGTGTGTGTGTGTGAGAGAGAGAGAGAGAGAGAGAGAGAGAGACAGAGAAAGAGAAGTGGGTTATTTACCTGATAAATGTGTCTCGCTCCCTGTCCAGGCATGGATGACCAATGTGCTCTCCACTCATTCTCTTCCTCTCCTCCTCTCCGGGTGAATCGGAAGGATACATGGACCGTGGAGCACCTGAGAAAACGTCTAAAATCAACCATTTTTTCCAGCTTCTCTTTTCTAACTCTCTAATTTTTATACACAAACCATCCTGCACAGAAATTACTGCATGGCAGCCTCATGCACATTCTCTCTCTCCCTGCACAAGCATTTATATGAGTAGCTGGGAAAACTGTTTCCACTTTGGGTCCTGGCAAGCCCCTTTGTTTATTTTTCATCAGTGAGGTCTTCCAGGGGTCACGTGCAAACAAGCAGGGCTGCCTTCCTTCTCTTCTGTTTGTTTAAGCAGTGCCTAAAGAGTTAAAGGTCATGCTTACCTTTCATAGCAGAGTGGGCCCGCCCCTGGCGGCTGCTCGGGTGGTTGTCTGGTGGACGGCACGTCGGTTCTCTCTGTCGCGCCACAGCAACCGCAATACCAACAGGAGGCTGCCGGACTTCACCTTCAACATGAGGTGCCTCTCCCATGTCTCTGCTCCGCCCCCCACAGTCAGGCCGCTCACTGTCATTGCTTGGGCCTTTCCTGGAAGGTAGGGCTGGTTTGTTTGTTTGCAAGGTGCAGTTGGAGCCATTGGTTCCTGTTTTGAGGTTTCCCAGTCCTCCGAATGGACTTTTCTGGGACAGGAGGAGAGGCTGCTGCTGGTTGCTGTATTTGAGAAGGTTCTTCATGGCGCTGCCCTCTCCTTGTGAGTCCAAAGCCTCCTGCTGTGTCTGTGCAGGAGCAGGGAGGGCTGGGAGAGGAGGTGGGGGACCCATTCCTGCCAACTGATGCTGCTGAGGCTGCTGCCTGCCATTGGCAACTCCACTGACAGACTCCATGTAAGCCTTGCGCTGATCTTCCTCCGGGTGGATACGGTGGGGGTGCATGGCCCAAGGTGGTACACCTGGTTGCTGATGTGAATGGTGCTGCCCACTGTTGCTGTAGCCATATGGAGACATTTCCATCTTACGCTTCATCTCTTGAGTACCACTAGTCTGGTTCAGTTCTGCTGAGGAAGCATCCGAACCTGCCCTGCCATGCTGCTGGTGGCGGATGCGGGCCACCTTCTGGCCATCTCGCTGCATTGAGCAGCTTCCACCTCCACCACCAGGCCCTTGCTGGGCCATGGTCTTTCCAGCAAGGGGTGAGGAGTTGGGGGGAGGTCCAGTGTGCGAACAGTCTCTATAGGGTTGAGGGTTAACATTACTGGGGTGGCTTAATTGATGGCTAGTTTTGGGCTCCTGGGCCAGAGCAGGCCTGTAGACATCAGGGTCCATGCTGTTGATGCAGTCCGCACTACGGGAACGCACAGCCTGATGCTGCTGGGCATGGCCCTGCTGCTGCTGTAGGTGATGATGATTGTTGTGCATCCAGTCAGGGGCTTTCTCTGCTTTTCTATAGGGATGCTGCTTCTGGGGTGGTGGTTGCTGCTGCTGCTGCTGTTGCTGCTCCTGCTGTTTCCTGTGCCAGCTTCCAGGATGCCCCCCACCCCCACCTGCCTTCTCCATGGACTTGTCCTTGGAACCATTTCCCCCACCTCCCACCCCCTGACACTCAGGGTTTCCGAGCTGGAAGGGGCCTCCAACTTTCTCTCCCAGGTGGCCCACTGATGGCACAAATGTGGGTCCAGTCACTTTAGGTTCTCGTGATCCACTACTGCCAATGCCTTTTTCATGTAGGGAGGAATTGGCTATGGGGGCAGGAGGGGGGCAGAAGAAGTCTGGGTGATGGTGTGAGTGGTGGCTGTGGTGCGGGTGATGTGTGTGATGTGGATGATGTGGATGGCTTGGGTGGAGTTGTAAACAGTGGAAGCTCGTTGGATGCCCCCCACCAGTTGCTGAACCCATGGGCAAAGGAGGAGGCACAGAGTAGGACAAAGACTGGTGCAGTGTCTGGCCCCTTTCCAGACAATCTGAATGAGGCTGTTCACTGATTCTCATCTCCCCACTAGCTGCTTCTTTAGTGCAGCGCCCAGTATTGGTGTTGCCCATATGCCTGGCTTGCGCATTTGCTGTACCCCCCGCACCCCTGCCCATTCCCTCTGCTCCACAGTTGACCATGGATCCCTTGGACCCAGCCCCAGCCCCAACCCCTGTTCCAGCCCCAGAATCTCCATTCTGAATCTTCCCGTTGAGCAGGCAGGCACTGAGAGGCTTATTCATACTCTGCGTGTGGTCCTTGTACTCCATTAGCACGGAAGCCTTGTGTCTCTCCAAGGCCCGGCCATTTACATCTTCCATGGTGATAGGGTGCTGAGAGTGGTGCTGAGGCTGGTGGGGGTGATGGTGCTGGGGCTGTGGATGGTGATTGTGGGGATGGCGGTCTTTTGACTCCTGTTTGCTACTGGGCCTATCTTTGTCCTTTGTGCCTGAGACCGCTCCTCTGTCTATACTGGCTTCCTTAAGGCCTTTGTGCAAGTTCATCCCACTTCCTGTGTCCCTACTGCAGGAGCCCTGGGGGTGCCCTGGCCCTGTCCTTGACATGGGTGGGATGCCGTGATTTGCTGAGATGAGCGGGGGTTGGGATGGAAGGCTTCGTAGATAGAAGTTCTCTGCAAGAAAAATCAAACAAGACTGTCAATAATTCAGGGCTCCACAGAGCAAGAACAGCTTCCCATGTGTGCTGCAGTTTTAGAACTATACCACATTTTTGTTGAAGGTTAAAACAAAAGAAATGAGGACAGATAGAAAACATGCCAGAGAACTATCAACTCAGGAAGTAATCTGAACCTGACTTTTTTGTTCCTTGGTCTACCCACCTTTTTGGGTGTCATAGAAACGGTGCTGCCCATAGAGGACGCCACTGTTGGCATGGTGATCCAAATGGCTTATGGGAAGGAATGTGTGGGCTAGACTCCCTGAGAAGCGAGGGTACCCTGGGGCTGCTGAGAGAAAAGAAAGAAGAGCTTGGAGTAAGCAGAAAGAAGACGTGAGAGAGATAGGGTGAGTGGTGGACAAAGCAAGCGAGAAAAGACAAATGAATATTACAGAAAAAGAGAGAGAAAAATAAGAGAGAGAGAGGGAGAGAGAGAGACTGAAGGGAGCTCTGATAAAGAGAGACAGCAGTCACTGAGCCATATTTCCTTTAGCTGTTAGGATTCTGGTCATGATTTAATCCTTCAGGTCCAATGCAGCTGGTGCTCTACATACACCAATAACCACGGGCTTTGGATGTCATATTTGCCATTCCTATTTGGGTTTGTAATGCAAACAACAAGACAAGCTCAGTCTTGGGGATTTGGGTAATGGATGAATTTTGTCTCCCAAACATATGGTTCTCACTGAGCTAATCTCACTGCCTCCCGGTGCTGAGGTAAGAGATAACGCTGCAAAACAATAAGCAAAAAGCCATGGCAGCAGAACCTAGTGTGCTTTAAGCCAAAGGCCAGAGTTCAACTTTATTTCAGCTTGCTGGACTTTCCAACATCTGCCACTACCACAATAAGCCCATGTGGATGGCATTTACAACAAAACCAAACAGCTCACATGCAAGTCTTTGAAGCCTAGTTAAAAATATAGAAAAAATATATGTCTTTTTTCTATAAATGCCTTTACAAATGTCACTGGTGATGATTTCTGTGGGAGTAGCACTCTTTCCAATATGTGCCAACTCTGCTCCTCCAAGAACAAAAAAACATTTTAAGCACACAGCATGTAATCTGAAATAGAATCAATAACAGTAGAAATGGAAAAAGAAGAAAAGAAAAAACTGTCGCCTTTTAATTTGCTAAATGTGCAATAAAACCAGTCAATTAACCTAGTGAATCCCCTCCTCCACTATTCTCACTGTCACCCATTAGGTCCAAAAACCTCAGCGAAGACTCCATATTCATTGTTAATGCGAGTGAAGTGGAGCAAGAGGATGGAAAAAAGAGCAAAATTAAAGTAAATTTCAATATATCTGTATTCCCTAACATAGTGCTTTGGTGTGTGAAAATATTATGTGCATTTATAATACATTTATTTTATAAATGTAAATGTCAATAAGGTATTAAATAAGGCATGCATACACAAAATAAAAGTGACTCCAATCCAATGTCAATAGGCCATCAATGCATAGAACCTCTCTTTGCTCCCAGACAATTAGACAAATGCCAAAGCATTTTGAAACAGGTCAATTAAATTCTGCATCTGGCAGCCTCTGAACCTTTCATTATTGATTGTAGATTTACTTATCTCAGTCCATTCATTTCTCCTAGTGAGTCAAATTGCCAGTGCAAGTGTACTAAGGCCTCAGAAAATATCATCGTAAAAGTCCGTGCCCTTATCACTACAAAGCCTCCACATGTTTCAGTGCTAAACAACCCTGAGCCTTGTAAGACAAGGTGCTCCAGTGTGTCTTCTGTCTGACAGCGTCTCCCTACTGTGGGATCGATGAACATCACATGTCGATTTTTTTGTCGATTTTGCAATTGGACATTGAGGCACAGGCAATTTCTTGTGTACACAAGCAGTTCTCTCTATCTAAGGAGATTGCTGCAGGTCCAGGTGGATAGTGTCCTCACACCTGTCTCACAATTACCTTTGAGTTTCAATCCCTGGGGCCAAAGCCAAAGCAGAGAGAGGTGCAGGGAAAAGAAGAAAATAAAAACAAGACGGTGCAAATGAAATGAAAGTCAGAAATATTTGCGCTGGCATTTCTGTGGCATGACCACAGAAAGTGCAAACGCAGTTCACTTGGGCCAGGGATGCTTTGCAGCCGTGTGGCTGCCCAGTGTTGAATGTCACACTTCAGAGGAGGAGACAGACAGACAGACACACAGACTGAGAGAGAGAGAGAGTGGGAGAGAGAAAATATCTGATTGGAGTCTTTAATGACCGAGTCTTGGAGAGGCCTCACAATTGTCAGATCTTAATTAATGAAGCTAGGGCTGCAGAATAAACATCCTTCCAATAACACGGAAGGCTTGGCTTTCTTTTAGGGAGCAGTGGAAGGTGATAATTACATAAAGTCCTTTTTTTCTCCCTCACCGCCTGTCAGCATTAATAAGCACTCTCATTTGTGCCAATTCATTTAGGATTCAGAAGAGGGAGAGAAAAAAAGTGGGTCTTTGTTTAAACAAGACATTTTCTCTCCGCTTTCCTTGCGAGAGGAGAAAAACCAGCGTTGCAGCATGCTGTAGAGAGCCTTGCAGAGTCACTCTGGTGTGCGTGCGTGTGTGTTTTTTCTCTCTATGTGTGACGCCTGGCATCGTAATCCCTTTTCACAGTGCGGTCTGGCTGTGGCCGATAGCGGCAGGCTGCTCGACGCTGGGCTGGGACTTCTCTGGATGGGGATTGTGGACACCGCTGGGGTGGCGCGGAGGCTCGTTCAGCTGTTAATCCGACCCCGACAAGAGACGGAAGGTGCTGCAGCTGCAGCCTGGTTGCACCCGCGGAATGCTTACGCTGGCGCACTCAGAGACAGATGAGCAGGATTCTTGGTGACTGACAGCGGCCAATTCAGCACATCCAGCGCTCTGCTCAGCCTGAACGGGACAATGCAGCACCTGGGGAGGGGATTTATGGGATCCTGAGGCTTTTGCCCCAGCAGCAATCAGCGGAAAAGGAGAATCCAGCAGACAAAGTAGGTCTCGCTGCAGCCGGAGGTGTGGAAGAATTGGACTTTAAGACAGATCAAGATGCAGAAACTGAGCATGCAGTTTCATTGGGGGCTATTAACATCATGTCTGGGTGTGCTAATAAGGCCTTTAATACAATGGTGGATGACGCAATGATTAGTGCCAGCCAAAACTTTAAAGTGGAGCAGTTTAGGGATCCCATATGCAACTACAGTGTGCATATGCCTGCTAATTTTTAAACAAAATCACCTTGTCTCAGTGGACAAGCTACGCCTCTTCCAAGTGTGCAACTATAAATGGTTCAGGGTAAATAGAATTTGAGAAGAGAGAGAAAACCAGAGGGAGTGACAGTAGAAAAAAAAGGAGGAGGGGCAGGTAGAGTTGCCTGTCAAGAGCACTAATTGAGAAAAAGTGACAGCAATGTCGACAAGGCAAAGAGAGAGGAGAGGAAAGGAAAGGAAAGGAAAGGAGAGGAGAGACGCGGAAGGGAGGAGGGGCAGTTGCAGCGCTGAATGTCGCTCCTCAGAACTGCTAATTGAAAGGAAGGGAGAAAGCTTGGCACGTGCAGAGAGAGAGAGAGAGAAAGAGAGAGAGAGAGAGAGAGAGAGAGAGAAAGAGAGAGAGAGAGAGAAAGAAAGAGAAAGAGAGAGAAGGGGGAAGGGGGAGGACAGACCACATTCTTCAGAGAGAGGGTAAAGGCACCAAAGATATGCTTGGATAGAGGGAGATGACAATGGTGTGTGAGCCATGGAAGATGGTAGAGGATGAGAGAGAGAGAAAGAGGGAAACAAAGCTAAAGGAAACAGAGGGAGAGAAAAAGAAAGGGGTTCAGGCCTTGAGTTTGGCACAGTTAAAGCCATAATTTGGACACCGGCCAGCTGGCTTCCAGCCCTGTAGGCTTTCCCTGTGTTTTCAAGATTTTTGATGCCCCCTCCTTTTTCAAACGGAAATCAAATATAGTTGGTGTTTATGAGCTCCATTGGTCAGGCCTCATGTTGTTGATTTCATAAGCCTATTTATAACATTATATCCTTGTGTAATGTAAGGTTAATATAGCTGTAATCCACCAACTTGGAAAAGAAAAAGACTAGCTTGGAAAAGAAAAGTGAAATGGAAAAGACCCGGGCAGTCCACTAGTTCAATTTTAAAGCTATTTCCACTGTTGGTTTCTGGTTTTCGACAGGCCATTTAACTCTATCCACGTCTTAGAAGTCTGTCCCCACCAATTCTTCACTGATAGGACTCTTTGTCAACACACCACATGTCGCAATCAGGAACATGGACCAAGGATGCACCCAAGAGGATTCATAACTGGCAGGTAAATGTGTAAATCTGGATGCTGAGCTACACCACACTAATTACAGTGGAAGATGCTAATGAAGTTGCTCTTAGGTTTACAACAATCATTTGACCAAAGGCAGAAGGGATCTCAATACCATTATGACGAGTAGATTCAAAGAGATAGCTTCAAGAGAAAGGCCTTCAAGGGATCTTTTCATGGACAATTCTACACACAGACTAACATTGCTGGCAGGAGACTGCATGCACCCGTGGAGCAGAGGAGAGGCTGGGTAATTGTGCCCCTCATTTTGATGACTTGCTTTCAATGCATACTGGAGAAAAGACAATATGCAATTATCTTAAAGAGAGAGAGAAAAAAGAACACCGCTGATGAAGAGCCAGGATTCAATCACGGTCCCTCAGCGTTCTACACAATTAAATTGCAATAGAGATAATAGCCCATCATAATAATCCTGCTCATAATCATCCTTATTACTTTTAGTAATGTCACTATTATCATCGTCTTTCTTATTAATGTCCCGTTTCTTCAAAAGAGATGACTGACACGGATATCAAGTATTTTTTCCCCCCAAGTTCTTCCAGCAGGTTGAGGGTATCCACAGGCCTAATTTAGTTTGACTTTTGTCTACGTCCTACCACACTGCCTTCTGTTTTTAGCAAATTAGCAAGATTTCTTCCAAAGGCCTTGGACCAAGTTAAAGAGAATTCATCAACACTAGCAGTGGGTTAGCTGGCGCAGTGACCATTTGCAATCCATAAGCAACAACCACAATCCGCTCCAAGCATATTCCCTCCCCCCCTAGGGTGCACTCCCAAGGAAGCAGTGGGTTGCTTGCATTCTCATGGACACAAGCTACTGAATGCAGATCTCCTACTTGATGAGTTAGTCATATTATACATAGATTTATATCCTAATGTTCATGAAAAACCACAAGTTGCAAAGGACAAAAATACTGATACCAAATGTAACCCAGTGGAAGCTTGGAAACCAATAATAAAGTGTTGTTGACCTACAAAAAATAAAGGTTGGGCCAGGGCGGCACAGTAACTCTGGGGCATGAGGACAGTGCTGGGCTCTGTAATTACCAGGGCTGAGTTTCCGGATTACATAAACGACACTGGGATGAGCTCCTAATGGTTTACGAGTGCTTGGCACGTTTAAACGTGGCCAGGGACCGACCCCCTCTCCCCAAATCTCTGAACAAGCTCAGAGTGGCACTCAGGCATGCCTGGGCAGCTCTCTCTCTCTGTGTCTCTCTGAATTCCTCTTTCTGTCTCTGTCTTTCACTGTTTTCCCAGTCTGTCATCTGTCTCAGTGGCAAGCTGTAGTGTGATGGTGGATGGAATTGCAGGGAATGGGAATTGAAGGGAGGGAAGGGTGGTCATTGGTTTGGCAGGCCGATGGATAGGTGGAGCTTGGGTTCCGGAACGAGAGGCAGGGTGGGGTGGGAAAAGCCACACTGGCTTTCACATGAGAGCTGCGACCACTGTGGACTGTGAAGCCTTTTTATTGCCTCAAGTGTGTAAAAGTGTTTGTGTGTGTGAATTGTGTCTGTATGTGTGTGTACTTTGGGCAGTGCAGAGCTGACATTCTTGCTGACGTGTATGAAAGACCACAAGATTCTTTGGCTGAACTTTTGCCCTCTTGTCACAATCTGGAAAACCGCTAGGGTGGGGCCTCTAAGAGAGCAGGAACCAGAAAGATCTAGTGTGACTGTAAAATCAATGAGAAACCCAGCAGACATACAAACCCTCCAGGCATACAAACACACCTAGGCCAGTGGTTCTCAACCATGGTCACGGAGTACCCATGCCTTGCATATTTTAGTCCCACTTGCTCCAACACACTTGTTTCAAAAAATCAGCTAATAAACAAACCTTTCCTACAGGGCACAGAGGTACTCTAGAACTAAAGTTGAGAACTCCTGACCCAGATGCAACCCACATACACAGTGCTGGATAGGTGTAGGTAGGTGGCTTACCTTCATGCGAATGTGGGAACCAGATTTGGGAGGCGCTGGAGTGTGGCCCCCCACGGTAGGGAGGAGAAGAAGGAGAGGATGGTGGTCTCGAGGGGTGAGGTGGGTGTGAGGGAGGAGAGCCCAGACTGCTGGCCAGAAAAGTCCCCATGAAGGAAGCCGAAGAGTTGCCCATCAGTCCGCTGCCTGTGTCCACACACAGAATGAAGGAGAAAGGAAGAGTAAGAGGGAAGAGAAAGAGAAAACAAGAATTAGGGCTGTGGGTAACTGCGACAGTGGCAGACAATGGTAGACTGGGCACAGAGATCCTGCTGGTTCGCCATTTGTGATAACTATTGCTGGCAGACTGTCCTACCACTTTTGCAACAAGATCTGAGAAAGGCTATAAGTATATCCCATGCAAGTATGTATGTATGCGCTACACAGAATTGATTTCACATGTTAAAACTGAAAATTTATAATACAATGTAACCGCAAGCTGCATTCTGAGTGTTGCAGCAAAGGATGCTGAAAACGTTCCATTATTATTTAGCAATTCAGTCCCTAAACATCACACTTTCTGTGTAGCCTTTTCATTTTAGGCCTATGCAACAAGTAAAGCAGCATCCTCCTAACTGTTAACATGTTGCAGCAGGTTTATAATCACTAGTAACATAAGAACACATTGTGCATGCACAGCTTGTATAATCTCCACAGAAAAGCAATGACAATTGAATGGGAAGCTCTGAAGTGGCCATCTATGAGTCTAGACACACCATGCCCAAAGCCAAGCATCAGCTAGAGAGGTATAAAGCCCCTAGAATAAGGCTGTAGAGCAGTGGAACTGTGTTCCTTGGAGTGATGAAGCCCTATCCAATAACATAACATAACACGTTCCAACAAAAGAGTGGATGCTTTTACTGCAACAAAGGGTGGACAAAATCGCTATTAATATCTTTGTTTTCGGAAGGAAATGTCTACAAACTTTCTGACATATAGTGTACATTGGTTACGTCTGCAGGGCAAGGCAACATCGCTGTGGAGAATGTGTCTAGCCTAAATTTCTCACAACATGGACTAGACGTGTATGTCCTCCTAAGAGAATGCCTGATTAGCTCCCACCTATGCCAATACTGTCTAAGGTCTAAAGTCCTTCCACCCACCTCCCCCATAGACACACCTAAAGCTGCCCAAGGACATTATAGCCCAAGTCTGGCTGCCTCAGACCAACACTGGACAGACATCTCATCTCACAGCTGAATGCACACTCTCTCTGTCTCTCTGCCGCTCCCCTACTCCCTTGTGTTCCTTTCCCAATCTCCTTTCCCTCTCCCTCTCCCCTCCATTATCTTCTTTTTTCAATCTCTCATTCTCATGCCCTCAATCTCTCCCTGAACCCTGCTCCATTTCTCTATTTCTTATCTTTTCCTCCACCATACTCTCTGTCCTTCTGGAATTTTCTCCTTCCTTGCTCTTGCTCTCACATTTTCTCATCTCCACACATCAGACCTAAGATGTAATGAACGAAAACAGACTTGGGGCTCCAGCCTCGGTCAGTGATTGACACTCGGTCCTCAAATGCTGTAGCTTTACACATTCAGCCCGATGGCTGCAGTCAGACAAACAAAATCAGACAGCCCTCCGTTGCAGGCAGGTAAACACTTCATCTTAATTATAGAGAACGACACAAAGATGTATAGACTACATTACCCTATACCCCGAGAGCTCTCACTCCACTCTCAAAGGGTTCCTGTTTGCCTTGGCCCTGTAATAAATGTAGCTGTGCCGCAATCTGCTCTGCACCCGCTCCGCTGTGTGTTTAACTAGACAAAGATGAGTAATTGACCATTCAGAACAACGCCTCTGTAACTGCCCGCTGATTGTCCATTATCTGTTATGGGGAGTATGAGCGGGAGAAAACATACTGATTAAGCACGGCTTAAACCGTGTTCCCATTATCCTGCCAGCTCTCCTGACAAAGAGACCCAAGTGCCTGTACATCCATTCCCCAAAGTCAGAACCACAGAGTAGAGCATGAATATGTATGAATGTGTGTGTTTATGTGAGAACGTGTGCAAACAGCTGACATGTATGGATCACCGTTGCCGAGACTGAGGTTTACAATGCCCTAAGCTCAGTGCGTTAGCACATATGCTTTGTGTGTGTGGGGGGGGGCTTTAATGAAAATACTGTAATTTAAAAAACAACAGTGATGATGATTTCTTTGTCACAAGATGGAAATTTTTATGTAAAAAAAAGGCAGCCATGACCAAATGAAATTAAGTAACAGAAGCACTAGTTCTTTCTATGAAAACATCGACCCCTCCTCCTTAATAAACCAATGCAAAAAATTAGCAGAATCCCTTATTTCCTTTCTCACCAGACTACTGTTGCAGCCGAGTTGAAAGAGAAACAATAAAAGCCTCTCTGGACTCACTAGACATGTTTAGTTTCTCCTCAGTAAGTATACATGCAAGGCTGTGAGCTCACAACACACACGCATCCTGTCTGGTTACGTGCAGTTCTCTAAATGTTTCCTTTGTTGCCAAGGGATTTGGTTGGCAGCAGTTTTCTCAAATATATCACTGGTTTCGCTACGACACATCAGAAATCAGCATGTTCACATACAATGAAGAAGGTAACCTATAGTATGACATATTTGGTTCAAAGGGAAATTGATTTTTTTCTAAATTTCTGCATTCAAAAGTCAATCTGATTGGTTTGATGTGAAATGGTGCACTGTAGAAAAACTTACCTGTGATTGCAATAAGGCCGCAGTACCTACAACGCAAATATATACATTTTATTTGTAACCCAAAATGACCAGTGAACCTACATGTGTCTTCTTTGGATACAACTTTGCTTGCCTGTCTTGCATGTACCTCTTTCCCATGCGTTTAAAAATGCATTTTAGGCCAAAATTGTTTTGTAAAAATATTGTACAGTAATATCTGGGACAACATATCCATAACCATTTTGTGTAACAGTTTTTTGTGAGGTGGCTTTACGTTTTTTGGCAGTCTGGTTCCAATCACCCCCACTGTGACTCAGTAAGTTTCTCTAGCATGGAGCGTTTCATGTCAGACCACTTTGAATGACTTTGTTTACATCCTTTACATTTAATTATGTAGTAATTTTGAAAAATTGGTAGAATTCCTCTTCAACTGCTTCACACTCTTCACAAAGGCTTCACTTCTCAAAAGAATCAAAAGGTAGCCCCCTCTTTATAAAAGGTACTAACTATTTTTATGAGGCTAGAGCATTGCTAACAAAGACCAATGAAATGCCTTAGCCCAGTTGAGGGCAATCACATTAACTCACAGAGACTAAAGCCAGCCACAGATAGCCTAATGTACACACTCCAAAGTGCAGTTCTGTCCCCTGGCAATGGCATAGGGAGGGGCACGGGCAGGTCGTTGTGTGCCAACAAGCAGAAGCAGAGGGGCATGCTTTAATTGTGATGGTTGGGGGAAAGGACAAGCAAAGCCCCCCCAACCCAACGAACCGCCCCCCTCCCTTTGCACTCCCTGTATAGCTGTGGGCAGCACCTTGGGCCAAATAGAGTTCCAGACAGCACACAGAGGGGAGTGGGCCTGGTCACGCCACCCCCCACCTCTCACCCATCTACATTAATCAAAGAATCTGCTGCATTAATAACACACCAGAGAAAAAAAAGAGAGAAAGAAAGAGAGAAGCCATGGGGGTTCATGTAAATGGTATTTTCTTTTCTAAATATTATATATAGTGTTTTCAAATTGTGTAAATGATATAGTTGCTGATATATTAACACCTTGTAACTCCATGTTTACATTTTTTTCCCCACCTGATAACTCACTCTCCCCTATCACACGATGCTATCGAGCCAGGAAGGTGAAAGCTAGAAGATGCTACCTCTCAGAAACATGAAGCCAGCCTCCGCATCTTTTCAAACTGATGCTAACGCAACATCTCTGGACAGCTGAACGCACTTAGTGGAGAAGACTAACTGTCAATTCTGTTACGTCAGCCAACAGATGCCCACATTAGCTAGCAACATGCTGAGTGATGGGGGGAGGTGGAGGGCCAGCCTACCCACTTAGAAGAGTAAGGACAATTATGTATGTTGGACTCCCAGCTAGAGTTGGCTGTGACATCGGCAAGAACTGGGCTCGCGATCTCTGGACGACAGGGCCAGCACTTAGGTGATGGTGCGACTCCAGTTTTTTTTTCACCATTTCACCAACACCAGCTGCTCTTTACATTGTGTGAACATTACTTGATGAATGGGTCAAAAAAATGGTCCAGAATCACAAAGATTTAAATCTTATTATATTAACTTGGGCCCACATCTGTCATTTTTCTTGTATGACTATATTTGTTTAATTTCAAAAAGCAAGGGAAATTCAGGCCTTTTAAGAATGTTACCATTTAAGAAAGTTGCCATTTTTGACATTTGAAGGTTTGATTTGTTGTTAGGGCAGCGGTAATATGGAGTTTTCCAATCCTTTCAGCTCTCTACATCTCTTTTCTCTTTGTCTCTCACACAGACACACTCCACAGTCTCACCGCTAAGAAGGTCCGACAGCAAAATGTTAAAGCCTAACTGTTTAATGCAGCCACATTGCTACATCCTGCCTCCACATTACTTTCCCTCTTCCTACCTTTGCTAGCTCTCCAACCATAATGATCCAGTCACACATATACACACACAAACACACACGTGCATGCAGACCCAGACCAAAAGCAAAGCAAAGTAGTTGGCTAGGGGTTTCTGCCAAGGAAAGCAAGACAGCCGAGTGGAGCGGAGGTCCAGGGTGCGAGAAACATGGATGGGGCCCACGCCGCTGTTTGTTTAGCACCTTATTAAAAGGATGACACGGGCTTCGCCGAGCTTGGCACGGCTAAGCCAACGCTCGTAACGGCCTGTTTCCCCCACGACCCTCCCCCCCCCTTCCTACATTTATTTACGGCTCTGGTAGAGGGCCCTAAGCTGTGCCAGTAGAACGCTTCTGTGGACGCTTACGAAAATCGGGTCATGTGCATCCTAATCGGCGCCGAACCCTGACAGCGATGGAGATTAATCCTATTACAGTATTAAAGGTGGGGGAGTCGAGGGGTGGGGTGGTTGGGGGAGTGTAATCATCCTCACTTACCTCTGCACAAACACACACACACACACACACACACACACACACGCAAATGTGTACATTCATTTGTAATCAATCGGC